GATTTTTAATCATAGCACGTTTATTTTGTGAGAAAAAATGTTTAGTTAAGGCTTTCCTGAATGTTCTAGATATTCTTTTTCATTTTGGTTATGAACTTTGTAACTTAATTCACAGGATAAGCTTTTTGATACTCCAGAGAAAACATTTTCCATAACTTTGTTTCCAATTCTGCTCTTATCTCAAATGAAACAATGGTATTCACATCAACTATATTTGCTTTCTTTCTTTCTTTTCTTTTTTTTTTTACTTATCTCTCTTTCCTTGTTTTTCCATTTATGCTTGAAATGCTGACTTGGATCAACATCCTGCTCACTTGTTGCATTACATTACCATTTTAAACCGAAGCAGCTGAGGCACAGCAGTCGAGCTGAACCAAAATGTTTAATTGTTGTACCTGAGTTTGCTTGAATATGTTTTGTTGGAATCTGAAGAAACTCCTGAACAAATTGCCTGTGATGATTTCTTAATCCTCAACTTCTTAACATTACGCTGTATTTATTCTACATGCAGTATATTGTATTAATCGTTTTTTACTGTAAACTCTGTTTGAAGTATGCTCTTTCTCTAATGGAGTACATTTTACTTAAGTTTCTCTTTTCTTTCTTTTACTTTGGAATTTTTATGTTACAAGATTTTATTTACTTGTACTTAGAAGTTATGAATCTCCTGATAGAGCAACATTTTTTTTTAAGCTGGTCCTTCATAGGACCAAAGGGAGGAAGTGTTATGACAAGACTGGTTTATTTCAATCAATCAAGCAAGCAATCAATTTTATCTAGGAAGCACCCTCCATGTAGGAGGCAGCACGATGGAAACGCATAATAAAGGATATTTCTGAACTGGGTTTGAATTGTAGAGGGTCACAGTCTGCAGGTACAAATACCAGAGTTGTGAAGTGAAATGAAACTGGTGGGATCCTCCTTTTTACTCCCCTCTTTGTTAGAGAGCTGGTGGATATTAAAAGCGATGTACTTTCATCTTTTCTTCACTTCCCTGGACTAGCCTGGGGAGTCATTGTTCATATTCTTTGCTTAATTTCTCAAAGCTATTAATATCATTAATCAATTATCTTCTCTAGCTAAGTGAGCATAAGGAAACAATGAGACAGGGCATGTTTTACATATATAAAAATATGACTTACTTGTTGATGCAACTTAAAAAAAAAACAATTTGTGCTTCTTTACGTGATGAAGATGCAAAGCTGATTCATGGCATTAATGCATACTGTATCCATTAAGCATGATACAGAAAATGTTAAATCGCAGAAAAAGAAACACCAGTCGCACGTGTTTTACATCGGATATATTTAGCAGTGAGCATTGTAGCCTCTTTGACACAAAAACCTACTTTCCAGGTTGGAGTGATAAATATTTCAAAAGACTGAAAATGAGCTGAGCAGAAAAAAGTAAGCGGAAGAGCAGGACAGCACGACTGAGAGCAAGTGGAAGAGCGCCGCATCTTAGATTGACAGTGTAAGAAGTAGAGGGGGAGATGTTTCCTAGTTTTTATCATGCAGTAGAGAAAATAAAACGAGTCTTAAACTCAAGATGGAAGCTTTTCTGGTTACAGCCAGAAGCCGAACAGCGTGATGTGAACCTTGATCAGTTTTAAGTAACTTTGTTTTTTTAGGCTGTAATGAGAAACAGCACACATAGAAATTGTGCTAAATCCACATCATTGCAAAACAACCATTTGATTTCCATACATTTTGTTCAAATTTTACTCATTGATCAAACAATGTCAAATATCACAGCTCTAAGACGGTCAGGCCAGTTGGTGACATACGGTTTGTCACGAAAACAAAAAGCCCACATGTTAGTTCTTTAAAAGCTATCTGAGCAATTTTGTCTAAATGACACCCATACAACTACGTACCACAGTTTCAAACAAACATGACTGAAAGGTTCAAACAAGCTGATTCAATGGAGTTTCTTTTCTCAGCATTCGTTGGAATATCTCCTATTGTAAAAAGTCAACACTGCCTAGCCAGAAGACCTGCACAATACACTGAATTGCAGTCTTCATTAAAATATTTGTGAGAAACAAACAAACAAACAAAAAAAACAAAGAAAAAAATGTTGTAAGGACAATTTGTGTAACACTGCAAAGAACTGCATGGATGCAAATTCAGCAGCACCCATTTACCCTCTTGTTGTCAGCAGCGTTTGTCGGACGGATGAACTCCCATTGCTCTTGATGCTCAGCCTGTAGGCGTGCAGATGCAAAAGTTCACAGAGAGTGATAGTAAAAGGTGATGATGGAAAAGCAAAGTGAGAAACACGTGGGTTAAAACCAGCCGCTATCATCATACCAGCTATGTAACATTGTCCATGTCTTCTACTGCAAAATCCCAATCTGTTTTTTTTGTTTGTTTTGTTTTGTTTTGTTTTGTTCTTGTTGTTCTTGACATTTGTTCAACAAATCGCAGAACAATTTCACGACCTACTATAAACAAAAGATGTAAACTATACAGCAGGTCTTTGGTTTTTTTTTTTTTTTTTTTTTGTAATTAGCTGAAAAATAAAGCTTCTGATTTGCTGTTTATAGTGGTCTTGGTTAAAATAATGACCCTCTTGTTGATATATAATTTTCATATAATGACTTTCTGTTTAGAATATTTGAACATGAATTTTCCTCTTGTTCAATGATGGGTGGAGGTAGGCACCAATCCCCCACTCTGTAAAGCGCCAGATCTCAAAGTCCCACTGGACGAAAGCACAAGCCCCCCACTGACCCGACGGTCAGCCAGAAAGCCTACAGTGATATTTGCATGGTATGAGCCCAAAATGAGTGGATGGAAATGTGTTGCGACTGGCGTAACGTGCTTCATAGGTGAGGTAGGTAATGATTGACAGACTATACTGTGCAGGGACTAAGATCAGTGAAATGCAAAGCAAAACTTTTCAACAAATGCCAAATGGTTTCCTCAATAAATGTTAACTTATATTATGTATATGGATTTTACCTGTTTAAACATGCAAACTAAAGAGGATGAAAGGGGATGGACTTCTGTTATTTGGGGGGGGGGGTTACAAAAGAATTTTGTTCTTCAGGGGTTTAACTTCCCTGATATGCTTTGCTGATGTCTCTGCACACATAATAAATATGTTTTGCACTGTAAATCCCAAAAGCAGAATTACTTTTTTTTTTTTTTTACTGCATTGATTCAATTAATAAATTGCTTTCAGAGCTTGGCACCAAACATCTGTCATAGCTCACCATTTAAATTAAATATTTAAATGACTTTTTGCTCATGCTCAACAGTTTGTATTTTATTTATGACATTTCAGCACTCTGCAAAAGCAGTCACACCCCTTAAACACTTATGCATTTTGTTGTGTCACAACTATAAACTTCTATAGATTTAAGTGGACTTTTGAAGGGGAAAGTAAGTAAAAATGGTTCAATTAAAAAAAGGTGGTTTGCATTTGTATCCAACTTACTTCGTTACCTCTCAATAAAAGACAATCTGCAATTGATGTAGTGTAATAATTCACTTACTCTTTTCACATGCAGCAGCTGTGATGTTGTCTCAGGTGTAAAACCCAAAGCAACATCTTAATCCTATAATACACTAAGCAGTGCCTCTCATCTGATCTCTTTTCATTCCCGTGTCATCTCATTATTCCTTATCCCCTTTATTGCAAACACATTTAGTTCCTGATGCCGGTTATTCAATCTGACAAGAAATGACCACATCACTGTTGCACTGATGCAACGTAGCCGTGTTTACAAAGCGTTTGCCACTGCAATGCTCCTTCACAGCACGCGGAAAATCAAACAAATGTCCAACAAAAGCTGGGATAAAAATGGCAACCGTACCACGAGAACCGAGTGCTAAAACTTCATCGTGTCTCGCCAGATCCGTGCGCGTTATGTAACCGTAGACTGCAAAAACAGACCCGCTCCAGTGATGCCAACAATACTTGCCTTCTTATCCCTTTTCAACTTGGTACTCTGCACTTTCCTTTCAAATTTATTGGCTCTAGCCAATTGCAGCGAGGAGAGTGCTTAATGTCTAAATCATTTTTAGACAGAACTCTGGATGGTGTTCAGAGGCGAGTCGTGAAGCACTGAAAAGTGGCCACATTAAAAGCTTTGCCATAGCCGATGCCACTTAAACAGAACACACTCGTGTGTTCTCCAGTGTTACACACCTGTACGCCCATTCATTTTTCTGTATTTTCTTGTACTAAACTCTAAACGTTACAGCAGGTCAGGCTGTCTGGTTAAGATAACCTAAACACTTGGCTGTCACTATTCTCATCATACTGTCTGCATTTTCCAGCCTAAATCATAATGATCATACCCCTTGAACATTTCGTTCATGTTTCTGATCTACACCATTCCACTGTAGCTCTGCCTGTAGGTTTGGGTTGTTATCTAACAGGCTTTCATCCAGAAGAAGACCGTATTTAGCTCTGTGAATACTTTGGGATCACACTGACTCAGAGTTGGGCGATGTTGGGAACTCAACCTCTGTCAAATTGCAAAGGTATGAAAAGCTAATGATCTGTGAGCATGCAGTCTTGCTTCTGTCCCCAACCCAAAGATCCTGGGACACTAGATGACACAGTGTCCACTGCACTGAAGGACAAGGCGCCGGACACAGAAACTGTTTAGAAAGAGTTGATCATGAAGTCATTGCTGTGTTAAATTTACAAATAGAGGGAACACAAGACCCAAGGAGGTCCTTTGCTGTTGAAGAAGGGGTAAAAGTGACTGTAGCTCACTTGTTCAGCCAATACAGACCGACCCGAGACACGCTAGAATGAAGTGAAAAGAAAAAAAAAATCAATGAGCGCATCACATGACAGAGTCAGGGGAAAGGCTGCTGCCCCATTATCATTATCATCATCATCGTCGTCAAACTTGTCTCCTTTCCTCAACATCCAGCTAAATTAGGTCCAGCCAAGCTTTGATCTTCATCGTGGCCTTACTCGGCTGCAGTATATGACCTCTTCTACGTGACTGTGTTGCTGCGCGGCTTGTTACTCACAGAATCACTCGCGTTTTTACGCAGCTGCTCTTCCTCTCCTCCCAGCTCCGCGGCGGGATCCACCACCAGCTTCTCGAAGCACGCCGAACCGAGAGAGGAGCTCTTCTGCTGGCACATCATCAGATGGGACACGGGGAGTTTGGGGCTCCCGTGGGCCGTCAGCTCCGGTTTGCTGCCTGTGGCCCCAGAAGATGTCCCCAGAGCCTGACAGTCGGAGCTCATCTCTGAGGTCGCGTCGCCTCCGCCGGCGGCGAGCTTGTCTCTTTCGAAAGGAGCCGGAGTGGAGCAGCATAAGTTCGGCTGCGATGACGAAAACACCCGGTCCAGCTGTTTCTTTTTCCTCCTGAACATCCACAAGCCGGACTCCTTCTTGGTGCCCTCCGCTCCTCCACCTCCTCCGGCTCCGCGGCGCTCCGAGCCCAGCTTCGGACTGAGCCACGGCTTGGTTTTCTCCTGGAAATTCTTCCACATCCTCCGCTGGTAGGACATGGACTCCTGGCCCCGGCCGGAGCCACCGGGTTTTGGTGATTTTTGCTCCATGGTGCCAGTGCAGCAGCCACCCAGCCTGAGCACAGTCTGTAGCTGGATCGGACGGGTGTCACAGCCGGGTTGCTGCTGCTGCTGCCGCTGCTGCTGCTTGTGTGCGCTTCAGCCGATAATCAGTTTAGAGCGCCGAGAAGGAGACGCACGCCGTGATGATGAAGTGGCTGCCAGTCCAACGGGGAACCTTGCAGAAAGACTATGCAGACGTTGTAAATTACTGTCACACAGCGCTATAAACGCAACAAACAGGCTGTTTCAACACAAGTTATCTCCTCGGTTGTAAAGTTATAAACGCACTACAGGAATTTTTTTATTTTTTTTTTTAAACCTTTCTGCGTTTGGCTTTGGGTTTCTCTCTCCGCTTTCCCTGGTGTTTAATCAGAGTTAGACCCGCTTGCTTAATTGTTGTATTCAAATACAGGCAGTGCGCCTCCCTCTGGCCAAACCTCTTGACTTGGTCATCGGTATGCTGGCGATTTTGACACACAACAACCCCTAATACCTTGTGGAGAAGCTTTTGATCTACTTTTAAAACCTCCCTTCCTCTCGAACGTTTTTAACACACGCCAGATTAATTGTGGTGATCATGCTTTTGTTTACCTCAGAAAAGCATAATCTTGCTAAAGTTTTCTACATTTTGTCACATAGGAATAAAAAATTGTGGGGCTTTGTGGTCAACACTAAATAGTGCAGTTTTAAAGTGGAAGTGAAGTGACAGACAGTCTTCAAAATTTCTAAAAAAAAAAAAGAAAAAAAGAGGAAATCTGAAAGGTGTGGCATGCCTTTGTACTCAACCAACCCCTTAATATAAACCTGTCGCTCTGGCTGTATGCCTAAGATTGGTGTTTTACATTTACGTTAAGTAGTCCCCAGTATTTGCAGTCTCTTGCTAACTACGTTTAGCTTTTCCACACCTGCTAAAAAAAAAAGAAAGCGGGGTAATGTTCGCTCTTTTCGTTATCTAGCAGAATAAAAGACACCAAAAGCAGAAAGAACTAACACATTGCAGCAAGATAGCGAGAAAGCTCAGAGAACCCATTGGAGGGCTCCAGATAAATACTGAATGAAATTAATGTTAATACAACTGGATCACTATTACCACCTGCCTGCTGTGTTTCTTGGTCTTCATGTTGCTGTTTGTCCACTAATGTGAAAAGCTTTATACAGAGATTCAATTACACACAACTGGACTCTATAAATTAGTTGAGTCCTGGTTGCACTGGACTCAACGGCTTTGTAATGAAGGGGGCTAAATACAAATTAAGCCTTCTTACTGCTTTTTCTTCCATTATGTGTTGCTTTGTCTTGCTCTATCCAACACATTAAAGAGGAATGGGTGTTTTTGCAAGCCACTATGCACAGCAGAGTGTGATACTTGTCCTATTTAATGCCATATTGTTTTGTGCACATCAGCCAAGTGTGGATAGGATTTTTTTTCCCCCCCCACCAATTAGGTCAAGCTTCAGCGAACGTTATCAGCCCACGAGCAGCACCGGTAACCAGGCAGAGCTGAGCGGCCTCGTCTCCTTTGCTGATGCGTATAATAACTCATCACTTCGTCCCTTCTGGCCTTTGTTTCAGCCCTGGTCTGTGTTGCCCCCTCACCAAACACCATAAACACAGAAATAAAAATAAAAAAAAACATAAAGAAATGAAAGTGTATTAATACCTAACCCTAGCATGCATTGCATGTATAAAAAAAGGGGTCAGAGAAGAGCAATTTATCCACAGATCAAGTTCACAAAATGTTAATTCGTTTATCAAAGCCATGTGACCTTGGCCTCACCTGTGAGAGTGATGATGAAGGATGCCTTGTTCAGCAGGATCTTTGCCTTGAGTCTTGTTGAGGCAAACACGATAAACCCTAAACAGTGGGGTGATTTATAGCACTTTCAAACTCTGATGTGGAACAGACATTTTCCTTTAAAGAGACATTTCCTTAGAAACATGGGAGGAGTAGTTGTTAGCTAGATTGTCAGTTTTTCCATATCTTATTCTACAAATTAAAATGCTTTAATTACAAATTCAGACTTGCTTAGATCAATCCTTTTAGTTAAGTAGATGGATTTGTGAGGAAGCGAGCCAAAATGCCCGTCAGCTGCCACAAACGTTTTCACTGAATCAGAATGGAAAACTGACGACTCGGCATTTGGATGGCTCCGCGGTGTAATGATCCCAGTCCTCCGGATAAGAGGCTAATACGCAGCTGCACCCACCTGCAGAACATTTACACAGATATCAAATCCTGGAAATGAGCTGTTTCTCTGACTACAACAGCTTGTAAAAGTAGGAAACGGGACTGTTTGAAATTGAATTAACAGTATCTAATTCATACATTATTTTTCAGTTTCAGTCATCAACCAACCCCAGTCTTTTGGTCCACTCTTCTTTTCAGAATTGAAAAATTCAGCCACGTCAAATGAGAAAAGCAAACTTACAAAAATACAGAAAGCCAGAGTTGAACAAAAATAAACCATAACAAAAAAGCCAGCCAGGAGACACAAGGAGAATATGGGAAAACCAGGGAAATAACTGAAGGATCCAGCAAGGAGTGACTGAGAAAGAGGTGCTAAAGTACTGGGAGGTTGATTGCTGAAACAATGAACCTGGGCTGATTGCAAGTGTGAGGGGAAAGAGCAGAGGGGAAACTGAGGAGAGAGAGAAAGAGAAAGTGGCAAAAGGAGAGTAAACAGGGGATTATAAAATAAAGCAAACCAAACATAGTTAGAGTAACTAAGAATAACTAGACACGAGAAATAAGTATAACAAACTAGAATCACTAAGAAGGACCGAACTAAAGAAAAGCAAGAACAAGACTGATCCAACCAAAATAAGAAACTAACACAAAGTGAAACTAGAATCAAATCAAGCTACAAAATGACAAAAGCTCCTAAAATTATGATTCAAAACAGGCACTTTAAAAAAATAATTTTCTGTTATTAAAAATTCAGAATAATTGCAGCTGTCGTAATTTGAGATTTCCTTTTTTAAAAGCCACACTTTGTTCACACAAGTCACCAGTTTAGTTTTCAGATCCACCTGTGTCCTAAATTAGATGAGCCCCACTTGTCCACGGATGATTGTTAGGAAATCATTTTGTTAGGTTGGGAACCTTGTGGACAGCGCTGTAAAGCACAGCGATAAAATTAAACTTTAATCCACTGTAGCTACAGGCGCAGTGACACAAGCGTGAGCCGGGACATGAAGACAACCTGAGAGCATGAAAGCCTGCGCACAACGTCTCATTCCATCTTCATTATTCTTCCTGATGGATGGATGCCTTGTTGAATTGAACCATGAGAGGATGGCTTTTCTTCTCAAATGAGTTTTAGTAGACAGTTTGTCTTGATTTGCAACACATGCGTTCCATCATTTTGTTGCCAAAAACACAAAACCTTTCAAATGCAACAATTGCTTTTCTGTTTACATCCCAATGCCTAGAAGGGGTGAGGGGGATGAGGAGCTTGAGCAAGCTTTTCGGGATTAAAGGAGAGGCGGCAGCAGGTCTGCAGACCCTGCACGGCTCCATCCAAGGCAGGTCACTTTCAAGCTGCTGGAGAAAAACCAGCCCGTCATCACACACATCTTCAAACAGCCATGCATTATTTTTTTTAAGGTAAAAACACTTGTGCTTTAAAAAAAAAATGCATAGCAACATCACTTATTATGTGGGACTGGGATTATTGTTTTGCACATCTTAGATGAGATCTTACATGTGCATCTTCTCTAATCTTCCTGTGTTTAATGTGCAGAACACCAACACAGAGTCATGCCCACAACCCCCCAGCTGATTTGATTACACCTGATGGAATGGTGCAGTGTCTGAAAAAAAAAAGAAAAAAAGACGACTTCACTTCTCATCAGCTCCAGATGTATTATCTGTAGAAGCGAAGCACTAACAATATCTCCAACCAGATAAATTAGCTCATAGTGCAAGTGTATTTGACTATTAAATCAGGGTGTTTGGGAACATCATGCTGTGTTCTGATGAGTAGGAAAGCAAAAATTCAATATTCAGCTTTGACACTGCTTTTCACATGGACCATTAACATAATTACAGGTTATCTGGTATTATACAAAAGCCTTCAAGCTGATTAATTCTGCATGTGATGAACTAATAAACCCAGCTCAAATATCTTGTGAATGAACACCGCATGAAAGAGTCAGGGGAAGATCTTGCTCTTTAATGTAAAGCTAATTCAATTTCCACAGTATTTCCTGACAAGCATTTGTCAGAAAATAAGTGTAATGACAAAACTCTGATTTATTTCAATCAATCCAGCAAGCAATCAATTTTATCTAGGAAGCGCCCTCAATGTTGCAGGCAGCTCGCTGGAAACGCATAATAAAGGATATTTCTGAACTGGGTTTGAATCGTCCAGGGTCACAGTCTGCAGGTACAAATACCAGAGTTGTGAAGTGAACTGAAACTGGTGGGATCCTCCTTTTTCCTCCCCTCTTTGTTAGAGAGCTGGTGGATATTCAAAGCGATGTACTTTCATCTTTTCTTCACTTCCCTGGACTAGCCGGGGGAGTCATAAGTATTTCACCATAGGTAAGATTTATATATTTCCTTAACAGAAGCTAATAATGATCAAATGATCAAAATCATTTGATAATGATAAGCTTGATTGTGCTGGCTTGTTTTTATTATGAGAAAACATGGAAAACACTGCAAGGTAACCGTACAATATGTGATCTATCTTAAAACTTTGAATACAGTTACTATGAAAATTGTTGTTTTACAAACTGTCATGAAATATACTATAGTTGAAATTCAACAGGAAAGTTGTGTTTTTCTTAATTACGAACATCCGTGACAGGACTTAGGATTAGTTCAATGGCTCTTAAACCAGAAAGAAGAAATGAGACTCACAGAATGAAGAAGCACTTTTAGGATCTTCTCAAGTTCGCCACCATGTTGTCAGTGATGGAGTCAGAGTCTTAGGCAAGTCCATCGCAACAGCAGTAGTTGAAAAAACATCTCCAGCAGCAGGGGTAGATGAGATCCAACCTAAAATGCCAAAGGTTCTGGATATTGTGGGTCTGTCATGGTTGACGTCCTTCTTCAGTGTTTGTGGAGGACAACACCTATAGTCAAGGGCGGCCGCAGAGGATGTTCAGGAAGGACTGTGGTTCTCAAAGGAGACTTTGATCGATTCTGGATCAAAGTCAGAATTAGGATTAGGAGGAGCACTGTGGTTTTTATTGTTTTGTTTTATTATTATTTTGCGGGTCTGCAGACTGCTTGCAGCCACATCTCTTAAGGTACGGTAATTGACGGGGGGAAATCCAGTTCTTCTACAAAGAAAAACAAGAGCTGTGTCCACATTTTGGCACAGAGTCAAGTTTGCTCAGAGTGCAGAGTGGTCTCAAGGGGGGGGGGGGGGCACTTGCCTCGGATCCTGTTGTAGTGTTGATGGACAGTGTTCATGGCATAATCCTGGAAAGAAGAACCTCAGAGTGTCATTTTGCATTTTGCAGATAATATGGTTCCTTTGGGGTCTTCAAGCCATGACCTTCGGCATCTGCTGGAGTGTTGTACAGACCGGTGTGAAGACGCTGGGACAAGAAGGAGCTCCATTAAGTCTGAACCCATGGCTCTCGGCTGAAGAAAGGTGGCCTGTCTCTCTCTGTTTCTTCTTCAAGAGGATAAAATGAAGTTTCCTGGTGTCATGTTCACATGAGCTGGGATGATGAAGATGGATAAACAGAACATGGCCACGCCCGCAGTGATGTGGCAGTTGCTCCAGTTTGTTGAGCTGAAGAAAGATCTGAATAAAACTAAATAAATAAAGCTCTCAGTTTTAACTGCAGGTCTAAGTTTTGAACCTTCCCTCTGATCCTGAACTACGGATTGTGGCGAGAATAAGATCCAGCACACAAGCAACAGTAGTGAGATTCCTCTCTTGGGTAGCTGGGCTCTGCCTCACAGATAGGAGCAGGAGCTTTGCTGTTTCTGGGGTTGAAAGGATCTGCAACCATCTGATGGATGGATGTGAAAAAGGAAAGAAAAACTAACATATCTCTTAGCTTCTATTGATAAGTAGTATAATTTTTTTCATCCAATATAATTTCACGGACATCTTGGTTTACACCTGAGCTGCGTTTTGAGCAGTGAGAGCCCAGGTGGAACCTTATCAAACAAAGCTGATAACCTGTGCTGCAATAAAAGAAGCAGTAGAACTGATCTATTCCATTTAATGATCTTTTGCAAGTTGTCCATAACAATTTAAGTGGGCTGGGGGCAAGTAGTGTTTGATTAACTGCACTGCTCGGTGCATGGACGTATTGCAACAGTGTGCAGGGAAATAACCCAAATTTACAACCAGACATTTCAGTTATTAGCTGCAGATGTAATATCCTGATATTATCGCACACAGCGAGAGTTGATAAACTGAGCGTTGAAGCCTATGCAAGAGTAATTACCTCATTAAAACAAGAATTGGAAGGAAGGAAGCTGTAATTCACTGCTGATAGTGGATCAGGCAGTTCACGCCCATCTCTCCAACATCATTCCAGTATAGCTTAGAGGCTAAATATTGCATAAGAGTCTGTAAATGAATTCAAACTGAACTGGAAATGGATTATTTTTGTTGTGTTTGCTCTTTTTGTGAATTGGCAATATACTGTATTATTTAAGTGAAGCCACAGTGAGCTAAGCTGATTTGTTTTTGTTGCCTGTCGGTGCCTTGTCTTAACTTTGTGTGCTTCATGGTCATGTTTCCCTTCTGTTCACACCTTGCCTTCTCTCCCTCCCATCCCTCTGTTCTCATTTAGTTCTCTCCCACCAGCTGTTCTTGCTTTTCTCTCCATCATCTCAGGTGTGATGGCAACGTCGGCAAGCTGAGCGCTGACGTGAGCTCGGGGGAGCAGCAGATGATTAGATTGCTGGAGGAAATGGCAGAACTCAAAATAGGTGTTGAAGCGCACTGCTTCGAGAACTTTAGTCCAAGGTGGGAGGAAAGAAAAATGCATGCTGAGTTTGGTGGATTTGACGTAAAGCAGCAGGTTAATAAAAACACCTGCAGCTACAGTGACAAAAACTATTGAGCGAGGTCTGTAAGCAACTAAAGCTATATGTGCTTTGACATATTTCAGTGTATAGTTTTATATATACACTTATGTATCCTAATTATTTGCAACATGCAATTGTAGCAATGTCACTGTAGCCCAATTCTGAGTCCTAACAGCAGCTGTGATGCCCTTGAAACAGCTGTGCATGTCATTTTGCTCCAAACCAGAGCATCACTGCAATTTTACACTTGACTGTAATTCATTTTTTTTTTTTTTTTTCAGATAAGATCATTTTCAATGCTTCATAACCTCCCTTGCATAAACAGCGCATGGGCATACTTGATTTGTTACCTCTCTGAACTGGTGAGGCTGCTGCTGTTTCAATTAGCATCACCAGCAGATCCGTTTTTAATGTGTTTATCTTATTAACATCATCTGACCGGATTATTGCTGCAGATATGTTGACTTGCTGCCATTTAGCTCAGAGCAACACTTTGCCTAAGTACAGCCCTCAAGACACTGTTTGAGTGGCAGTTCAGTGTGAGTCATGCATTAGCCACATAACAAGCTGACCCCTTCCCGAACACATGCGGCAACAAGGCTTTCTAGTTCACACGACTCCACTGGTTAGCATCATCTCTGACCAGCGTAATGTTTGGTCACCTCTAGACCAGAGCATGTCGGCTTTACACTGAAGCTAATTTAAGTTTTGTTTTGTTTTGTTTTACCTGTTAGTTGACTTCTGGTAAAAACCTGAATTTGAACACTTGTGTTGGGTTATTAAATCATAATACCTGTGGTGATCATCAACTAAGTGTGAAGGAAGAAGATGGCTTATGAAGCAGAGAACAAAATCTCAAACAATTTGAACAATAAAATGTTAAAAATGTTTTTTTTTTTTTTTTTTTACTTTACTCTTCATATCCCGCTGATTCTATATGAGTCGCCATGTCTGTCTGGTTCAACGTACAAATATTCTCAGTGTACAAAACGCCTGAGCCTGAGTATAATCATTGAGCTCAAAGTGATTTATGCTTGTTGTATAAATGAAATGTCATTAGGTGTTTGCATCTAGTGCTGGATTGTCCAGGGGGAAACCACAATGTGACAGGATGCAAAATATGGGATTGGTTTCAGTCATTTATCCTGGAGAAGATGTCTTATCAGCTACACAACAGAGCCTGGACAAATGCAGTCAGGCATGACAAAGTCCTCCTAAATAGCTTTCGTACGATCCTTTTATTTTTGAAGACCTATATCAGAAAAAGGGTCAAATCCAGGATTAAGATCCATAATGTGCGTCATGTCCTAATGTTTCCCATCACTTTAATGAATCTGAAGGCCAGTGCAGCAGCCTCCTCACGCACTCCCACAATGATTCAGTCAACACTCAGATCATTCCACAGGGTGGCACATCTCTGTGATGACAGCACATTAACTCTTGACCAATGGTCACCCATGTGCCATAAAATAAATGAAAATACAGAGAAAGTGGGTCACTGCCATTACTCCTTGCTCTAACTGACCACAGGGATGCTACAGGGGCGTGCTTAGCCTGACTCAGCAGAAAATAAAAACAATTAAGGTCCTCTCTGATATTAGACCCTGCACATTTTCAAACTGCGGTGTAGGGACATGGCTGAAACCCACGGTTTCATTCAGCGTTGTGATTAGGTGAATCATGCTTTCTGCAGGGACAGGTGGGATAGTTTCAGACGGATGATCCAGGCCCGCTGTGGCCAATCAGATGGGCTGAACTGCATCAGGATCTGCAGCTGCTCAAACAGGCATAAAACAAAGGTGGCTGATCACTGCTGGCAACTTGCTGTCACTACTGCACAAACATATACATGCAGGATGTTGTTTGCGTTTAACGTAAAGGGAATGAAGAAACAGCAGAAAGAGAACTTTGTGGATAACAGGAAGAAAAAGAGAGTCACCATTATTTCTTTACTCTTCAAAAATATTGTTGTAGTCTGTGTAAATGAGAAAATTTGAATTTTGTTTATTTAAAATGTATGTGGAAAGAAAAAAGATAAACAATCCTTAAACTATGAAAGTGGAACAGAAAAAAAGCTAAGTATTATCAGTCCTAAAAGTCGCTTTTAGAACTGATGTGGTGATTTTTCTTTTCTATTACTAAGCAGTAAGATATTTCCGATTACTGTTAAACACGATAATATAAAAACCAGGTCTGCCGAAACCCGGGATCGAACCAGGGACCTTTAGATCTTCAGTCTAACGCTCTCCCAACTGAGCTATTTCGGCAACGTGCCCACATTCGGCTCACCACATAGCAAAGGGGTCTATATACCTCGTGCACTGGGAAAGCAATGTTTATTGTCAGAAGACGTGCCAAAGACGACACTTTTCTGTGAAGTGTCAGACAGAAAGCTCTCTTTCTGTCCGTCGCAACTCTGCCGACTACAAGCAGCAAGCACACATGTGATTTTGTTATTATTTCACCCCCCCCCTCCTCTGAGGCAGCAGTTTACACACTGGGATGGTGGGATTATTTTCAGTTCTTTTAAATCGAAACTAACAGAACCGAAAGTAAATGTTGTTTGGTTGACTGGCTGCGACTTAAAACACACGGTAAGATCACATAAATACAGAAAATGTTTCGCGTTTCATTTGAGAGCTTTGTAAAGGGCTGAGATTGGCTAAGACGTTGCAGACACCGGAATTTATTTTTTTATTATTTACCGAAAAAACAATAATTTATGTTATAACGTATGACAGCTAGGCAATGGAGGATATAAATAGTATGGAAACTAAATAGATAGTAAATGGGCTACGTTTGCGACAACGATTCTACAGGCTTCTTCTTCAATATTATGAGGAAGCAACTCTGTACAAAGTGTGTTCTTTATAGCTGGACAGCAACTTAGACTGTGTCAAATGTAAGGCGATAATAACCAAACTCAAAACAAACAATTGCTCTGTAACTTTCTTGTACTCAATGTTTTAAACAGGTCACAATGTCAGTTCAGTTCTCTGGATGGGAGGTGGTGGACGATGGTGCCTGCTTTCCTGGTGTGACGCTGGCGCCCGCACAGAAGCCTCAGAACAAGGGCATCTACAAAATGTTTCATGGAACCAGCATTGCCAGTGCACGGGCCATCATTGCTGGTGGATTCCAGCCGTCGTCCAGTGGCATGCTGGGAAAGGGCGTGTACATGAGCAGGGATGTGAAGAAGGCCTCTAACTATCCCCTTCTCAGTAACTCTAGTGACCGTGTGATTTTTGAGCTGCGTGTTCGTGTAGGCCGTGTCAAGCGTATTGACAAGGACAACCATCCTTTGCAGTACACCTGGAGCAGCCATGGCTACCACACCGCTTGGGTACCCCCCAACTGTGGTATGAAATCTGTGCCCAGCGGCCTGGAGGAGGACTGTGTGTTTGACCCTAAAAGGGTGACAGTTGTGGGCATCGCAAAAGCACCAACCACCGCAATAGAAAAGGAGCTTCAGCAGCTTCTCGACAAATCGTCTAAACAACCCAAGGGAAGAGCTGGTCAGCATAAAGATGTTTGTCCCCTGTGCAAGAGGAAGACCCAGCAAGGAGCTCATCACATCAAGCAGAAGTGCTGGAAGTGTGGTCAAGACATCTGCATTCTCACGTCCAAGCACTTCTGTCAAAGGAAACCTTGAGAGAAGCTGTGGGAGGAAAGAAAACATGAAGTTGAATGACAGTAAAATCAATCTTATTATTATTATTGTTATGAATTATTATTGTTATTATTATTGTTATGAATAGGCTGACAAAAAAATAGCTTATAATAATCATCTTCAGAGAAACGTGTCAGTCATACTGAAAACCAGTCATTTGTTTTCAATATGATCAAACCTGAAAAATAGTCTGATTATGTTTTTATATGAGATCCTCACTTCATCCAGGTTTTACTCTGATCTGAATATTTACAGTGATGTAAAGACATCTACTGCTAAATATGAACTTGAACAAGTGACAAAATAATAACAACAAATTTGCTTGTAGATTATTCACACACATGTATTCTGTCCTACTTCTGATGACTGTCATCCCTCTTGTCTCTAAGATACTCACACATCTTCACCTGCTCAGTGTAATACAAGCAAAGTGGATGTGTACAGTATAAGTTAAATTTCATTAAATGACAGAAAATATGTACTTATTTCTTTTGACTGCTTGTGAGATCATTCCTATGAGCAAATTAATTATAAAATATTTTCTTAAACATTTATCTTGAAAATTTTCTCACAGCATCCATTTTTCCACTGCTGGTCTAAGTAAAATAATAAAAAATAGTTTAGGATTTTGGCTTTTTCTCCAAAGATTACTATGAATTATTATGTTAAAAACATGAATGCTTCACAATTGTTTTCGTACTAATAAAAATCCCAGAAGTATGAAATGCCTCCAGTTCACATTTAGCTCCTTATGAAATTATAAAATAATTTAAAAATATTGTGTGCATAGTGTATAACTTCATCTAATGAAACTGCACCCTATACTAGACCCCAGCAACCTCGAGCGGACTTGTGTATAAGTATGAAAAATGTGGAAGTGCTGCTTATCTTAAATGGAAATTAAACAGTCCGTCCAACAAATTCCCTCGAAGTCATAAAATACGCTTGTGGCCCGTACGGGGATCGAACCCGCGACCTTGGCGTTATTAGCACCACGCTCTAACCAACTGAGCTAACCGGCCTTGAGAAACACAGCTGTGATTCCGTGTATATCAACAAATCGCATGTGTCATTCTTTTTATTGGTAAATCGAAACTTGGAAGGCGGTGTAACTCCACTAGGCATGCTTACAAGACAGAAAGTGAAAGGTATTCAACTCTCAGTGAAGTGACAACTCTTCTCATCGACGGTACGTTTTAAACCTAAAAAAAAGACAGATACATGTAGTGACTAAAGGATACGACAGCAGCGAGTTTGTAGAGCTTATATATATGTGCAACGATAAAATATAGCTGACACAGTTTGTCATTTTATAAGTCGGTTGGATTTCACTTCCTTATTGCTATATGTGCAAAGACCTAAGTGTTCACATATCACTTTAGCTTTTCACCGACGTTTTACTTGATTATTTTGTATGTTTTTATTCATGGCCCTGCCATACAAAGACTTCTTAAAGAAAAGGCCACGCCTGAAACTCTACACAGCTCTCACATTTATTAAAAAAACATAGCGGTTAAGACACTCCTTTTTCATAGAGATATAGACCAATAACACATATTTTCGGTATTAAAACGATAGCCTGTACGATCAGGCATAGCATTATGACCAGGTCACTAATGCTGTGTTGATCTACTACACGAGGAACCTTGGCCTGCTGAAGCAGCAGTAGGTATTGTGGGTTAACAGAAGAGCCGTAATGGACACCTTAACTGTTCTGTCATTATTTGACCTCTACCTGTCATAATTAGGCCCTTCTCAAACTTGCTTATATGTATATTTCCCCTGGTTTTAACACTTCAACTTTGACGACTGAATATTAACTTGTGTCTTGATATATTCCACCTACAAAGTGTAATGGTCAGGATTTTATAACGTTATTCCTAAATTCTGCATCTTAAAACAGTTGACAGCAAAGCGTCGACATTCAGCCTTTCATGATTGCTTATTCCTTTCACAGGTGCCGGTACTATCAGAACGTGACGCTCCACCACTACTGAGTCAGGATGTCACTGCAGTTCTTTGGCTGGGAGGTGACCTATGACGATGACTCTCCTCGTCTGGAGCTGGGGGCCTCGCAAGAACCCAAAGACCGGGGCGTCTACACCATGTACCACGGCACCACTGTTGCCAATGCGCGTCTCATCATTGCCAATGGCTTTAAGCAGTCAACCAAGGGCATGCTGGGGAACGGTGTGTATGTAAGTCGTGACAGAAAGAAGGCAGAACGTTATCCTCTTAACATTAACGCTGCAGATCGCGTGGTGCTGAAGCTGCACGTGCGCGTTGGCCACGTCAAACGCATAGACAAGGACAACCATCCAATGCAGTACACCTGGAGCACGCAAGGCTACGACACAGCTTGGGTACCCCCCAACTGTGGCATGAAAGCTGTGCCCAGCGGCCTGGAGGAGGACTGTGTGTTTGACCCAAGCAGAATAACGGTCGTGGACATTGCTCAGGCTCCAAACACAGACCTGGAGCCACTTAAACAGCTTGTCGCCAACAGTCTCATAAAGCCCAAAGTTGCAGCTGGCAGTGGGGCTGCTGCAGCTGATTGTTCACTGTGCAACAGGAAACTACAGCAGAATTCTGCACATGTCAAACAAACGTGCTGGGGATGTGGGCAAAACATTTGCACACTAATGACCAAACATGTCTGTACAGTCAGGATTTAAGAGGAACTTAAATCTGATGGGGTCAATTCACTTAATCCAGTGAAGTGCCGGGAAACAAACTGAATGTAACTTAGGACAATAGACGTTTCTCAGGATACCAATGTTCTTTGGAAACAGCCTGGTTTCTTCTTTTTCTTCCACAAAGAACTGTGATGTGCCGTAATGTGCATCAACTTAAGCCAAACTTTATGATAATTTTACCGCTATGTTTTATTATATATGAAATAGCTTTAATAGGATCATGTGTTGGTGTCAACAGAAGACAATCTACGATGAGCAAAATGTCTTTATTTCATAATTGCATGTTGTTTGGACTTTACTTAAAAAAAACTGACTTCATAGCCATAATGCAAAAAAAATCAAATAAATGAAATAAAATAATGCAAATGAATCAATAATTTTGATTTCAGATTCATCATGCCTTGCATTCTTCTTCTTCTTCTTCTTCTTTTTACATTTGTCAGCAACATCCAAAAAAGGTTCAGTTGGTGCTACTGGAGCCTCACTTAGGTTTTCTGCTAATTGCATTACATGCAAAGCGATGCAGATGCAAAATTCATGATGAGGAAGATGTTAGTTCTGTGTAAAAATCCAACAACCTTTGATTTCCATTCATTTTGGCATGTTGCAGAAGAACCTGCACAGAGAACAGAGAACATGCTTTGGTAAAAGTTCAATCCAAAATCAAGAACTTGTTCTAGTGTCCTTGTATGGATAGGGTGTTTTTTTTTTTTTTAACTCACATTAATGAGTTCTTGATCGTTTTTGGCATGCAAGTGTCTGAGGAGGTACCAACTCGCCACCTGCACCACCGTTACTGGGAAATCATCAGATGAAACATACACGGACCTCTCCAGCAAACGCCTCGTTTCCCTGCAGAACACAAACAAAAGGACAGGTAAATGTATCCATACTAAAGTTTCTTGGAGACTTTAATACTATTCTTACTAAAGGGATGGTAAAAGGAAAGAAAAAGAAAAACACGCAAAAAAAAAAGGTAGTAGACAGAGGTGGAGATGTGATGTCATTTTAAGATTTTCAGCAAGTCCTCAACTCGGCGATAACAAAACCATCAATCCTGAGATTATTTAGACATGTTTCTGTCAAGGCAGAATGTTTTTCTTGGTAATTGCTAACCAACACACTGACAAGACAGATGGTTGCATAAATCTAAAACTTTATAAATAATATTCAATCACTTCTGATCACGAATTACACATAAATATGTGATTAAAAAAATCACTTAGCAGAGCATTCCACAAATCTGTAAAATTCAAAAGTTCTAGTACAGCTCCTAATTCAGTGGAAACTACCAGGGACAAGCGCGTACCTTGCAGTCATCTTGGTCACATATTGGAGCAAAGCCTGGAAGAGGAGGGCCATGGGAGAAGAGCCCAGCTTCAAAACCTCCGTAGTGGCTTCCATAACAAGATCCTTCCACTCGTTTCCAGGGACTCCAGCCTGAGAAAAAAAAAAGGTTTATTTCTACACATCAAAAGGCTGCTTTCTATATATCTTCATGTTAATATTCTAATCACATTTAAGTTATTCATAGTATGTAACATTAATGAAAGGAAACTTACACTCCATCTTTAGGAGTGTAAGTTTCTAACCGTTGCTAACCGTTCCCTTTAAAACATTGTACAAACATTAGGGGTTTAGGGGTAGGAGTTTATAAGTTCTCACTTCTTCCTACCCCATTTTGAGCATGATATGTTAACTGAAACAAAAAAATCTGTATTTTCTCTTCTTTCTTATGCACTTCTTGTTACTGTACACTATTTTATTTTATATTTGTATCATGTTCGAATAAAATTTCATTTCAAATTTCATTTCATTTCAAAACATTATGTGCCATCTTAAACATTGTCACTGGTGACCTTAAAATTAGAAACATGTATGATCTAGGTTTGTGCTCACAGACTTACCATGCAGGGTCCAAGAGCCAGCAGAGCCAGTCGGAGGAGGCTGGCGATCTGGAAGCTGTGAGCGCCCAGCTGCAGGGCAAGCTGCAGGCTCTGTCTGTAAGCCATCACCGCCTGGACCAGGAGGCCCTGGCTGCGGTACACCTCAGCCAGCCACTAAAGAGAAGGAGAGCAAATGTCTGTTGATTTATCGATGAGTAAACTCTGTTTTTACAAATCTGAATGGGAAGTCTAACCCTGCTGCAAATTCTGGCTGCGTATTTATACCGTTCCATCTTGCATGCAGTCAAGCTCCACAGAGCTCTGCTAATGAGCCAATATCGGAGCTAAAGAAGAGAGACATTTAAGGTCGCCGGCATTTGAGGACTGGACTTTGAGTCCATCGCTCCATGTCGAATATATAAACACGCCACTGCTTTAAAAGCACTACAGCTGGTTTAAAAGTGAATTCTGTAACATTTTTGTGTCAGTTTTGTCTTAAGAGTAAAACGGTCTTAAACTGTAGCTGCTTTTACACAGGAAAGCTACATAAATATTCTTTTAAATATAACTTTGTAGAAAGGAAACTGGGAAAGGTGCAATTAGTGATGGTAATACATTATTTTTCTGTAATTGATCAATCAAAAGTAACTCGTGCATGCCGTGAACTACTTCTTAGTTCAAAGAGAAAAATCGTTATTGGTGGGTTGAAGATTTAGAAAAACCACAAATGAGCTGCGGAGCCCTAATTGGTGCAGCATGGTTTTTTTACTACATGGATATAGAGAGAAAAGAGTGGTTCATTACTGCATTTAATTTGTACCACAGTTCTGCAAGTGATGGTCACGTACATGCCATGCTCCAAGGTTGGTGGGGTTCATCATTACGACTTTGTTTAGCTGCTCCAGGACCTGCTCTGTAAGGACGGTACCACCATCAGTCATGAGGAGGCGCTGGCACTGAACCTGCGTCAGCGACAGCATCACTGCCGGGTGCTCCGGGGACACATTGAGAACCTGGAATAAAACAAATGAAATAAGACAAACCCACTGCAGGTTTGTTGCATAATTTCCCCCGTTTTTCACTGCAAACAAACAAAAAAAAAGGTTTTAGATGCGCATAATAAATAAAGAGCATTTATATTCCACCTGCGTGCAGAGAGCCTCTGCTTGCTCCAGCTGTCCTTGTTGCATGAGACCAGACACGGCCTGCTGCAACACCCAGCCCTCCAGAGCCTCGGTTAGGGGGCGCTCCGTCTCCTCCACGCTACGCACTAGGAAGCAGAAATGGGTCAGCCTCACGTGCGGCAGACACAAAGCAACCAGAGAGGTTAAAGGAGACCAATATGCACCTTTCTCAGAAACCACAGACATCAGAGTGTGTTCCAGTGAATGTCGGCGAGGAGCAGAGCCAGAAAGATAACAGGAGGTGTTTTCGGCGTGAGAGGCTGCCATTAATCCAGCCCATGTTGCTGGATCATCTAAAGAAAAAAAAACAAAAAAAACCAAACAAACATGGGCATGTAAAGATATTAAAATAAAAACCTTCATTTTTGCATTATTTTCAGTAGAACGTTGTGAATATGGTTCATATTCAACATAGTTTAGAAGGTTTGTGTGGGTACCGGGGCAGAGCAGGACAGCTTTCTGCATGGTCTTCAGCGCATTCCTGCGAGGATCCTCTCCAGTATGTCTCCCACAAGCCACTTGGTTCACGCCGCTGCACAACAGCGCCCTCTGGAGGCACAGAAACACATGCACTTTTACTGGGGAAACGTGCAAAATCGACAGTGGAAGGTGTTTTGGTCGTTACACAGGGAACAGACGACAGAACAAAGTCATATCCAATAAAGAAACAAAAACGTAAATAAATCATCAGGCTTTTTTTTTTTTATTTACCTTCCCTTGAGTCATACTAAAGAGACAGGCGATGTGGCCAGCTACTGCGCCCCCCTGTAAGACAAAGAACCCAAAAATGATATAAAAAGCACGTCTTGGATTATTACTGTTATTTATATGAGATTGCCTGATCACATTAATGTCTGTCACTAGGGATTTGTTTTATGCAGAGGCTTACCTGAGCCTTTCTGGGGTAGTACTGAGGTATCACTCTGGACAAAAGAGCCCAAAGGGAGGGATTTCCAGGATTACTGAAACAAGAAAATATATATATACATATACAAATGAAAGAAAGAAAGTAAAAACTTGACCCTAGGGACATCCTTTTGCAGGCAGGCATCCAATTGAACTTGTTTTAGTCATTATAATACAGGAAAGAAGCATAAAAAAAAAGGCAACCAAGCTAACATCTACACACATGTCAATCTGTTGTCTGTGGGTAATGATAGAACATTATTTGAGTCAGTTCATATTAAAACCTTAGATACAATCTTAACTCATGCAACTGAGTCTTCTCAGATCAAATCCGAAGCTTATAAAAGTTTCTGAACGCAGCTCTGTACTCAAAAATGCTGACTTCTCGTTCCATCTCCCTATATTTGATCAATTCTTCACAAAAATGTATGTAAAAGACTGAAATGAAATCCCTTTGTATTGTAACAGTAAAGCGGACCCCGCAAGCGTACCTGTGCACAGCTCTGGAGGCCTCTCTCTGCACTGCACTGTAGTTGCCCTGAAGGGCCAGCAAGGAGCAGGTGAGCAGACATCGCTGCTCTACGACCCCCCCTGAGGCGGACCCTTGCTTTAGCAGCTCAGTCAGGGCAGCTGCAGCCAGTGTGGCGTCGCTGTGCACCAATCCCAGCGCACACAAGCAAAGCAGAGACTCCGGGATGGGCTCCTTCAACACCGAGCTGCCGACACAAAGACGGGAGACAAACCGGTTACATGTTTGGAAACAACTTTGACAGCAAAGATTGAGCAGTTTCAAATCAAATCCAAGAAGTAAGTGGCTGCTATTTTCTCATTCCAGCACCAAGAGAACAATTAGAAGGAGTGACCCTGTTGTGACGCACATGCCGAAGCTCATTTATTGAAATAAGTTGCTGGTATTTCAACTTATTGAGATGCACCACTGCTAAAGGATGCCTACAACAACGTGATGGATTAAATAAGAGCATTGAATATGGATGAAATTGCAGAATCTAAAGCTGAATCAAAACAAACATACACACAAATTTTTTTTTTTTTTTTGACAAAAACACCTTTTGGCCTCACCATTTGAAAAGCAGCGTCTTGGCCGAGTCTAGGTTGCCCTGTCGGTGCTGCAGCAGGGCCAGAGCAGTCAGTATGTAAGCCTTCTCCTTCTCGCTGGAGGTCACAGCCAAGGCTCGCTCATACACTAGCACAGACACAGAAACTCACTCGGTTTGGCATTCAAAATCAAAGCAAAGCCTCTGAAATCTTTTCTGCTGCTCATACCACTAATGCTTTCTGGGTAGAGTCCTGCCCTGCAGTAGGCCAGAGCCAGTCCTACCAGGTCACTGAGGTCCTGGAGTTGAGTGGACTTATAAACCTGGACTGCTTCCTCCCACTGGCCCGAGTTGCTGCAAATAGGACATTTCGCTGTTGAAGCTCACAGAACGTGCCTAGTTTATAGACGGACAACCCGAGTTCATCGTGACGGTGAGCCAAATGGTTACCATAAAGCACGAGCACAGCTGCCGAGTGAAAAGACCAACACTTCTGAAGAGGACGAGGACCGAAGAAGTTCAACAGCTCTGGAGGAACGATAAGAATTAAAGAAACAGGTGTCAAGTTATTCATTTATACGAAAAATGTACCCCATGTGGCTTTTTTTTAATCATTGTAATTCACACCTTTGGTATGCTTGTAAGGCCTGCCTCTTCAGCTGCAGATGTTCGTTAAGGTAACCCAGCATAATGAAGGCGTCCGGGTCAGACTGGATTCGTTCTAAATGTGAAAGAAATTTAATTAAAAAATAATCAGTCTTAAGCCATAGCCCAGTTGAAACAATAAAAATAAAAATCTCTTGACTTTTTGAACAGCCCCACATTAATAAACATCGCACCTGTGTACTTGCAGATGGCTACATGAGCAGCAGAGATGGCGTTCATTTGCACAATGTTGTAGCGGTACAGCTCACTGTCCCTGTTGCTCTTATCCAGAAGCGTGGAACAAACCCAGTAGGCGTAACCTTTGACCCCTTCCATCTGAGAGAGGAAAATATTACGTTTTGGTGACGATGGACACGGACGAGGAACAGTCTAAGACAACAGGAGAACTTCAGCATTTCTAGAGAAGAAAAAGCAATAAGCTCGGAGCCAAACTGTGTGTGGAGTTAGGAAGGTGAAGTAAAGATTACTATCTGGGCTAATGAGTGGGTTTCAGAGCGGCGGAGGCTGTGAGCCGTCACCCACATGTGTGCTGAGTTCAGTGGTGTGCCTGAAGAGATCCATAGTGTCGTAGCTTCCCACGCGTTCTGCGATCAGCGCCTGGTGGGGGTGACAGAAACAGCAAACTGTAATTAACATGAAAAAAAAAACAACAAAAAAAAACAACAAAGAGTTGAAAAGTGTGGCAGCCCCTTAGCATGGAGAGGGTGCCAATTATGAAAAATAAAATTACCTCATCACCACTGTCTTGTGTTGGGTATCAAGTAAAAGGTGTATATGTTTATATGATACAGTGTGGATTATTACACGGAATCAGAAAAGTAACCCATTAAAATTTGTGTTTTTATTCAAAGCGTTTTTCCACCCAGAGTTGAGAAACTAAGGCTGAGCTACATGCAACTCTAAACAACAGAGTAAAGTCAGCTACCAGACCAAAGCGAGTTTTGTTTGTGAGCCTAAAGATGCTCATAACATAAATATTTAGCAATAATCAGCTCTCTTTCTGAAAGAAGGCAAGAAGAAATCAAGGAAGGAATAACAGAAGTCCGGGTTCTTGATGTAGGACACTAATAAGGAAAAACATCTTGGCAGTTATATTAATGCAGTCCAGAAAATGCTTCACGATTGAAAAGGGAACTGTTTAGGTATAACATGAGCAAAAGTGAGACTTTCAGCTTCTTCCATTCACTCCAACTATGTTTTACACAAACTGCTCCTTGCTTTACTAGTTTTCTGGTGACAGATTTGTTGGGAGAGAAGGGAGAGTTCAGGCACGTATCAGAGGAACGACGCTGAGCAGAACCACAAGATGTTAACAATGTCTACCCTCAATGCGTCTGGGAAGTTTGGGCTTTCTTTCACTACAAGCTTTTAAGCGCTCGATTGACTTTGAACATGAGGACGGAAATGGCAAGTATGAGACACAAACCAAAACACAACAGAAAAGGAAAACATGAAAGTACCTGTCCAATCCAGCAGTTGACATACAGCGGCTCCAAAGACTGTGCAATTTTGAAGGCTTCGTGCGCAAGCTGAGACAAGAAACGCACACTTGAGTAAAAACGTCAACCACCGATAATGAAAATAATCCACAACATGTTAGCATGTAAAGAAAGCGACGACAGCACCTCTATGTTGTCCTTTTTTAAATACAGCGTACCAAGGTTTGTCCATGCGACAACATTCTGTATGAAAACCAAAAAGGTCACATGAAAAATAATAAAATAAAACCAACGAATATATGACTTTAACTGGTCAGGAATATGAGTTTGCAGTTCGTACGTTTGGCTCAACTTCTATGGACTTGATGAAGCAATGCTGAGCCAAAGCATAGCTCTCCAGACCTGATGTGGTAAAACAGAAACATTTCACTTTCTCTGACATATAAAAAGAAAAAGAACAGAGGAAAAATATGAACTTTTCCAATATTCTTAAAATGATTTATCCATTGTAGTAAATGACATGCAATGTTTCATTTTAGAAGGTACAAAAAAGAAAAGAAAATCTGAATAAGGAGTAACAATCAAGGCCCTTTTCTCAAAAATGATATATTAATGTATTTTACAAAGTCCTACCTCTGGACATGGAAATCACCCCCAAGGCATTCCAGTAGCTATAGTTCCCACTCTCCATCTGGATAGCTTTTTTCAAGCACTGGTAGAAAATATAAAATATAAAGACAATGTGGTATTGATCAGTCCCTGATATTACAGAGTTATTATTTTTTAATTACCTGTTGTGCCTTCTCCAGGTTCAAAGAGTTTTGGTGTTCATCTGTAGGGCGGGGTGAGTTTGTGGCCTGGTGGTAATAATTTAGCCCCAAGTCACACCAAAGGCTGGCAACCTCAGGCATCAGCTTCAAAGCATGGGCATAACACCTGGGACATGAGAGAATAAGCTTTCTTCGGCTGATGTTTTAAAGTATTTATGTCATTACATATCACAGTGACTTGATTTCTCTTGAACTTTTCCACATATTTTGAGGATACAAACCCAAACTTCATGTGTTTTATATGAATATATGTCATAAACCAGCACAATATAATATAGCACAGCCATAAAATTTAAGGAAAATCCATATAAAGGCTTTCGATTTTTGTACAAATGAAGTTTAGAAAAGTGTTGTGCATTTATATTTGTCCCCCTTCACTTCTATACCCCTGAGCAAATCCAGTGCAGAACTCTTCAGAAGCCACTTAATCAAAGTAAACTTGCTTCAGTGCAGCCTAACGTGTGGATAAAACCTGGCAGTACCTCTCGCCAGCTTTGAGCGTCTGAGCTTGGTTCAGCGTGTGATCCTGTGCGCTGGAGTCAAATCCAGACAGCAAGGTCGGCACCACAACCTGAGCCCTGCTTGGCGCAACAACTCTGACAGCGGTGCACGCATCTCCCAGCAGCTTCCACAAACAAGACAGGTCTGGTCGCAGCTGCACAGCTCTGAATGGAGCAGAAATGTAATAGGACAAACAAGGTCGCCTACAGAGCAGAGTGAGCAAAGTATTGAAATTCTGGAGATTAAATGATTTCCGGTTATTGCCTAAAGAGGTTGTGTATGGATTGCTGAATGAGGTCAATGGCGCCTCCATCTCTGCAGTCCTCCATTAAACTCTTTGCCAAAGACAACTGGCACTCCCCAAGGCCTTAACAACAAACCAGACAAGTTGTCAGAAATTGTCAAAAAAAAAAAAAGGTGTGACAATCAATATTCTGTGAAGACAAACACGAACCTTTCAGAGCAGGAACATAGTCCTGCTGTGTTGTGATTTGCAAATACTCATCCACGGCCTCCTTGAACTTTCCCAGCGTCTGTTTGATGGCAGCTGCCTGGTAGACGCTGTAGATGGAGCTGGGCTGGAGCTGATGTGCCTTGCCGAAGGCCTTCAGAGCCGCTGTGAAGCTCCGTCGGTTGAGGTAGGCCTCGCCTAAACATTCCCAACAAACCCAGTCCTCGGGATCTGCCCTCAGAGCAGCCTGCAAGCTTCAAAACATCCGTTTTGAAACATCTGAATTAGAGTCCGAAATCTTTGGCTCAGATTTGAGATTCTTACTCTGCTATGGCTTGTTGGTGTTCTCCGACCTTCAGGTAGTACAGGCCTCGTCTCATCCAGGCCCACTTAGCTGAGCCCGGTGTGGCTTTCTCCGTCACCGACTCGAGGGTTGCCAATGCACTGTCCTGTGACATAACGGGGTTAAAGGGGGAACTGGGAGGTTTTTCCGACGCTAAATGCAAACAAACTTCCTGAAACGATGCTGACCATGTCTCCCTGCCCCATGCTGAGATCCACCAAAGCAGCTCCGGATTCGGCATCGCCACTGTTTAACTGGAAAGCCTTCCTGTAGCACCCCTGCGCACGAGCGACGTCATTTGCCACCTCCCGGTAATAATGGCCAAGGTAGCGAAATGCACAGCCGAGGTGCGGATCCAACTTTGCTGCCTGAAATGGACAAATAAATCATGTCAATAGCATAGCTCTCTGTTTGGGCTAATATCGGTTTCCAGCAAACTTGAACATCGTACGGCTTAAACACCGGTATGACCTGGAAACCCTTCAACGTGAATCTTGAAACCAAACGATTTAGAGAACTTAAGATAACAAGCGCCGTTCCATCTGAAGCAGTCGCATCCTTCAGTTCTCCATCCATCCAAGGTAATCATACCAACCTTTAACAAGTGCGTGTGAGTTTTACTCCGGTCTCTACGGGTCTCTGAGCCCATGTCCCAATAAAGTTTTCCAAGGAAGAAGAAGTACTCTCCGCTGTCTGGGGTCTGCTTTGTAGCCTGTAAGAAGCTAAACAACAAGAGAAATGACCAATGTTTGTGTGAACTGCCTTTCTGATATGTTCATTTGTATTTACTTATTCTTTTTTTTTTTTTTTTTTTACCTCTGCTCTGCTAGCTGAAGCTGACCTTCAGCTACATGTGCCAGTCCTCTCAGAGCCAATACCTGCGGCAGGTTTGGGTTGGAGACTTCCAGCTCTGACAAAAGCTGTTAAAAATAAATAATGTGAGTAGCATAGCTCTCTGTTTGGGATAATATTGGTTTCCAGCAAGAGTTATCATTATTTTAGCATAGTCTGAATTATTTAGTTGATATTTATCTGATAAAATACTGCACTTTTTCCTGGTCATTGTAAGATAACATCCCACTGATATGAATCAGTCGGGAAAAATGTTTTCAACCTTGAGTGATTGATCGGTCTGTCCTTTGTTGAGGTATGCACGTCCTTTCAGGGCCAACAGAACCGGATCTTTTTCAGCCTCAGTAATCTAAATAAAAATAAATAAAAATTGGAAAAAGAATTAGAAGTAGATATATATCACATATCTGCACAAATACAAAATTACAGAGAAAACAAAGAACTTCGTAGATGACAGGATTGAACATTTATACATATATGTCATATGTGGGGCATGAATCAGAAAACCTGTGAGAATGTCTCCAGAGCCTGACTGGCAGCCTGCTCTCCTTCACTTCTCACTAAAGCCTCCAGCTTCAGTCGAAGGAGTTTGTCTCTCAGCTCCTTATCTTGAGTACTACAAACTTTTAGGCCTAAAAGAATGAGATAAACCCAGATGCTGTGTAATTTAAGCAGACAAGAACCAAAAATGACCACTGACAGATAAAGAAGTAAGAGCATTCATAACCCAGATACAGTGAAATTTTTACTCGGCCTAATTTAGCAACAGCAAACCTAAAACGAACCTTGTGAGCATGAAGCAGCGCTGTCGGAGTGTCTGTGTATTTTAAACTGGGCCTCTGCCAGGCTGCACCATCCCGTTGCTGAGCTCATTTTCTTTACTCCTAATAAAACAGAATGGATGGGTTAAGGACAATTATAAGCACTGTAAACAACAGCTGCACACTGAATGCGCTAATGTGAAAACTAACCTATTTCAAGATCATCAACGGCTTCTTTATACCTTCCCTCCAGAAGAGCCTTGGTACCGAGACCCAAGTGGCCCAATCCACTGTTGGGGGCCATTTCCAGGAGTCGGGAAAAACAGCTGACTGCATCCCCATCCATGTTATCTTTAAAAGGAAAGCAAACATATCGTCAGGTTGGCCATTTCATTTACATTTAATTTAACCTTTACACAACCCAAATAGACAAGAGATCTTAATTTAAACAACACAACACAAAGGGAGTTTGAGTTCAAAATTACAAATTTTAAATTTAAAATCCCTTTGCATTCTGCTACAAGTGGAGATTTTGTTGATATGATGCTAAACAAGCGGGAGTAAGGACTGGTGGAAAGCATAAAGATGATGGAGGAGACTGACAACTTTACAAAAATGACAACAATAATAACATATTTTTAGCCGTCTCTAAGCTCTAAAAACACACTAAAGTCATAATAAAGTGATAACATATCAGAGACCTGACACGAGTCTAAAGATCTGTGAAGGGGTTTAAAAATGTATGTGGCGGCGAAACGTCTTTCCATCCTCAAAGACTTTAAGAGTATGAGAAAGGGTAAATTGTCAAAATACATTAAAGATATGCCCATCTCACAAACACAATTCTTCTTTGAATTAAATTAAGCTTATCTTTAAATTTACCTGTGTTAGGAATACGTTTGGCCTCAACTGTGACTCCCCCAAAACAGTTTAATATTCGGGAGATGGACTTTTCTGTTATAACTTAGTTATGACAAAGTTATAACAACAACACCTGCATTGTTTAAAGTGTTTGATGCCAATTTAAGCTATAAATAAACTTGATTCAATTTTGTTTTTAACGAAGGGATGCACAGTTTCTGATGGAAGAGCTTCGATTACCTGAAAAAGTTACTCCAGGTGCCAATGAAAAGCATCTAACGAGCATGTGTAAGACAACAGTAGCTTACTTGTTTTGAGATAGTGGCTGCAAAGGACGTCCAGAGGATAGGTTTGGTTTGGGTACGCAGACAACATGGACTGACAAGCCTCTTTCATTTTGCTTTCTTCGTGTGGCAGCTGCAGTAAGAGCAGATTTATGATGGAAAGGTCCTTTCATGAAAAACCCTGCGAATACGTGATTGTCAGAAGGAGGCTGACACAAGAGGGGGGGGGTGCACTTACTTTGGAAAGACATTTAATATAATCAGCCGAGAGCTTCTTGTGCTCCTCTCCAGGCACAGGCTCAGTGAGAATCATGGCCTTCTCAAATGCCTTTATCAACTGATCATCGTAAAATCAAACACAGCAGGCGCACGTAAGCAACTTAAACTTGCTGTAAATTCCCAAGATCGCATCAAATACGCATCACACACAGCCGAGGTAAGCTTACGTGCTGCTGAGTCTCGTTGTCCTGCTCCTCATCGCCGATGCAGTCAGAGAGGAGATGGGTCATCTTCTGCAGTAACTGCACTAACTCCTTCTTATCCACGCCCTCTTCCTCCTTCAGCTGGACGAGCTGGAGCCAAACCTTAGCCAGCTGCACACAAACGCACGAAAGATGAAATATGTGGCATGAAAAAGACATATTGGTTAGTCGTTTTAACCAAACCTGCATGCTAAGACATTTGAAATGCACACACACCTTCAAATATTCCCGGTCAGACTGGTAAATGTCCGACAGCTTTTTGATCAAGTCGTAGCTTTTAGTTTTATCCGTCCTGTGAACGGAGAGAGCATAAGACACAGAAATGTGCTTTTACACAACAAAGAACATAAAATAATAAAAAAAAAACGTAGTTATATAACATCTGCAAAAATTAGTATGAATTTTCCAGAGCTTGTTTCTCAGTGTTTCAGCACTCTGCTCTTTATGAGAATCCTACAAGCATAAGATGCCGATGATGCCTGGTTAGCTACTGATTACCAAGAACCTGCAGTCAGCTGCTTGAAGCTTGTGGTTTTAAAACAGGGTCATCATGATTAAATTAATAAGTGGCACACCCTCAAGTTTTTGTGTCATATTTCTGTTTTGTTTTTCTGACCACAAATATTTCCAAACAACCAAATTCAATTTTTTTTTTTTTCATGTAGGAAGGAACAGAGCAACAATAGGTGAGGGAGGGGCTGTCTGTTCTACATGCTCTAAAAAAAAAAGAAGAAAAAATACATGGATAACTGTGGACACTCCAGCACGACTATTAAAAGAAGATTAATAATAGCAGAAACGGTACATCTTACTTACTTTGCATAAAGCTCCACAAGCTTCTGGTAGACATTAGGCAGCTCATCTTTGAAATCCCACTGATCAGTATTTTCATAAAGATTTGCTAAACCCTGCAAATATACACATTACTGAAATCATTCAAAGTAGCACAATGCAAAACACTCTGTGGGAAAATAATTTGTATAAGGCTACATGGTTTCAGGGTTTGACCCCCCTGCTCCAGATGAAGACACCTGAAGATAAGCTTACCTGCCAGGCCAGCAGCTGCTCAGGCTCCAGCTCCACCGCTTTCCTGTAGGCTGCTTGTGACTGATCGGGTTGTTCCAGCTCACTGGCTGCCTTGCCGATGAACACCCAGGCATTGTAATTGTTCTTTTCAAGTTTCAGAACAGCCTGAAACCACATGCAGGAGCGCAAAATCAGCTTTGACACCCAGCTTCCTCCCAGTAGGTGGACTACATTAGCTGTACTTCTCAAGAGTATTGGGAACCAGAGCAATTTACCTTGCAGTGCTTCAAGACTTCTTTGAACTCTTTGTTGTTAATGGCCTCTCTGGCACTTTTCAAAGCTGCTTTCACTTCTTTATTGGACATCTTTAAGAGACAGACATTTACAGTGAACACCGAAAGAATGCTACAAAGCAATTTCCAACTATTAGCAACAAGCTACAAGTTGGATAGTTAACATGCCACCCACTGAAATTAGACCAATTAGACCAAATAACACCAAATTCAGGCTAATTATGTGCTGCATTTTATTGGTGCTGTGAAAGAGCAAATAAATAGCCGATAAAGTGAGTTTTGGGTCATTTAAGCTCTTAGGAGACAGATTTTCTAGCCATAGTTAACAGCAACCAAATAGGATTAATTTAAATAAAAACCCGGTGCTTATTTTAAGATGTACGACTGGCCTGGTTGAGCTGCAAACAGCTGTAAACTATAGTTATATATAAAAAAATCTTTGTATGAGAAGCTAACTTACTGTTTACAGATCATTGCAGGACTCCCACGAATGAGACGGAAGTAATACCTGCTGCGTGGCGGATTTTTCAAAATAAGATGACTTGGGATTTGACACAAAAACAAAATACAATTGACCATACCACACAATTTGCTTTGCTTGACTTTAATACACCTCTCCTTGTTTATTAAATAGCTGTAAGTCAAGTGTCTTTCAGAACTATCCATACCTCCTGATTTTTTTTTTAGTTATCTTACTGCAGTGCTTAGAATTTTACAACCACAAACATCAGTGCATTTTATAGGTGATTTTAAACAACAAAGAGGCAGAACATTAGAGTGAAATATAAGAAAAAAACGATTGCCTGACACCAATCTGGATGGCTATGTAGATCATAATTAGAAAAATAATAGAAAAAGCCTTTATTGACCTGCCCGACTGGTGTAAATGACACATAAAACAAAAAGTGAAAGTAATTTTGCAGCTTAAAAACATTTACCATCGCTTTAGTTATAAAATGTTCTTGAAGAGCTGTGAAGCCATGTATCAATGGCTTTTTCGTTGGCCAGGATGTCCTTTTGCCAGTCCATGTGCCACCTGAGGTTAGCGATGACCTCAGAATAGTTTCTCCCCAAACTGTCCCGCCACGCAGCAAACTCGTTTTTATTGTAGAGATGGACAGCCGAAGAGACTTTTGGATAATCTACAATGCTGCGCAGCAGTTTGTCCAGTTGAGCCTGAACGTCTGGGAATCTGAGAACCACATTGTGCAGCTCATCTTTGTCCACTGTGACATCTGCAAGAGAAAGGGTACAGAAGGGGGCGTTCAAAACCGGCCATAGTTGTGACTTTCTCTGAAGGTATTTATGAGAAGGAAGTGAAATAGTTTGAAACTCACTGAAAAGTTGCGGGGGGACACTGATTCCGTCTGCATAGGCAATGTATTTCCAATGTCCAACCCTAAGCATATATGTAGAGGCATTGGCATTGCAGCCATGATATTCACTCAATACCCACTCTGGGTGTTCGTTCTTGGACACATTTCTGGATGTGGAGATCAGCGGCAGGACAGAGTGGCCACTTAAATTGCCCACAGCTGAGATACCAGCAATCTCTGTAAAGCAAACAAAGACTTCAAACGCTGAAAATGTACGTCTGCTATTGCCTGAACTTCTCCTTTCCTACCGAGCACAGTAGGATGGAGGTCAACCAAGGACACAAGCTGGTGGACCTGCAGCCCAGACTTTAGCCCGGGGCCCATGATGAGCAGGGGGACACGAGAACTGCCTTCGAACATTGACATCTTATAGAACTGCCGGTGCTCCATGGCTAGCTCCCCATGGTCGGCAGTGAATATCAAAACAGTGTTGTCCAGCAGGCCTTTCTCCCTCAGAGCTGAAATCACCTGACCTGAAGAGACAAAAGGGGTGGAGAACACGTAATGGTGATCAGAATCCGACGCCTGGAGCATGTTCCACAATATCTGCAATGTTGGTAAGACAATAAATTCAAATGTTATTTTAAAACAATAAATATATTTCCCCTCTTGCAGGCCACAATGCCACAAATACCACTCTCTGCTGCTGCTGCACCTTTTCCTACAACACTTTTTTCTTCCACTTAACTTTCATTGAACAAGGCTGGATAGAGCCCTCTGTGAACAGCCAGCTTCTTAAGCAATGTTCTTTTTTTTTATTTTTAGACATCTGTAAAGTCAGCAGTCTTCCCCATGATTGTGTGACCTACTTACCTTTGAAGACCATTTAGAGGCTCTTCTTAGAATTAGCTGGGTAGTGTGTGAAACCAAAGGTTTCCACTATTTAACTTTTAAAACACTTTACATTTAGACACTGTTTTTTTGTTTGTTTTTGGCTTTCATTTTCTGCAAACTATAATCATCAAAACTACAATAAATGAAGTGTTGACATATTTCACTGTTTGTGCAATGAATCAATGTAATATATGAGTTTCACATTCTGAAATAACTGGCTAAAAAATAGATACACTTGATATGAACTTGTAAATGCTTTCATTAGTCTTAATTTCTGTTGGAATCGCTTTTTCGTTTTTTTTTTTTTTTAAATGTGCGCTGTAGCCCTTACCAAGCTATAATGTGTCAATAATCTTACTCCAGTTTCTTCCAAACTCTTTCTCTCAACTAACCCAGCATGGCATCTGCTTCCGCACACATGGCATAGTAGAAAGTCCGAACGCTTTTGATTTCCTCCTCAGTGAAGTCGCTGCTGCAGTTTTTGGTGAAGGTGGAGTAGTAGTCAACAGGATGCATGGCAGCCATAGGCAACCATTTAGGAACAGAGACGAGCTCAGAAGACACCTGTGAACACGGAAAACAAAAGTTATTTAGTGAAGCGGCGCAAAGTAATCACTGTGTATGATAAAAGAATAACAGTAAAAAAAATAGAATGCCTTTGTGAGCCAGTACGGCGAGCTACGGAAAGTGGATCCTCCAGCTGTAGGGCCCAGTGATTCAGTTCTGTAGGGATGAGGCAGATTGAGGCCGAGATATAGAGCAAAAGGTTCTTTTGACAAGGCAGCTGTTTGGCGGATCCACTGAGCAGCTTTATCTGTGTTCTTCCAGTCTTTTTCCATAATTCTTCTGGTTGACATGTTGCCAACAAGTTGGGCAACAGGCCGGCCTTCCTGGCGAAGAAGGAACCGGACATCTCGAGTCCACGCCTCGACGCGATTACTGCAGCACATGGGGGGGGGGGGGAAATCAATAAAATCTATGGGCATCCGACAATCAGGTCTGACAGAAAGGCCTAACATTGTTTCTCCTGCCCACCTGACTGAGTGACTCCCTGAGGTGTAATCCAGCTTTCCCAGCATCTTCGTACGATATCCCTTCCTCTCCAGCAAATCCATCCACGTGGTTGAGTTCGCATCCAAGCACTTGTAGTTGTTCCATGACTGACTGAGGTGAACAAACTGACCACTCCACATTGCTGCAGAAAAGGTTCAGGAAATTAATCTGATATCTCCTCATTTGAGTATCGTGGAAAAAGTATTATTATTATTATTATTTTATTTATAACTAAGTGTACCTGCTCTTGAAGGGCAGCAGATGGGCGAGTTTGTGTAAGTATTGAGAAAAGTAGAGCCCAGCTCCCGGAGATAATTTATATACGGGAGACGCACAACTTTGCTGCCTGGATCAAACGATAGTCGACCATCCTGAAACAAACACAAACACATAAACACCAAGTTTTGATAAATAAATAAAGGGGGTGACCTAAATCTGCCTACAATACAGAAAGTCACTGTTCATGACGCAAAACTTGTAATAAACGTGTAGTCCAAATCATACTTACAAATGCATCACTCATCACCATAACAATGTTTGGTCTGGTAACATTCTGGCTACTTTCGCCACAGCTTTGGAGGAAGAAAATAAAAGCCAACAAAAACATTTTTACACCTTCTATTCAAATCCTATAAAATAACGCATTTTCTTAGGTGAAATAAAACATTTGCCAAAAAGTGATTAAATTAATCGGCGCAGAAATAATAATAATAAAAAAAACGTCTTCCTTGTCGAGATTGCCCACCGAGGAGATTCACATCCGGGTGAAGTTTTCAAAATAAGAGTTTTCTTAAAATTAACTTTCCAGTAACGGTTGGGGGATTAAACAAACAAGGGAAAGTAAAACAAAAATAACACAACTATGCATTATTTACCACCTTTAATATTTTTTAAAACAAAAAGAACTCTTACAAATTACAAACTAAACACGGTTCAAACAAACTTTTTAACATGGCAAATGAAAACTCTAGAGGGCAGCATTTATCTATGTACCACAATATTGCTGAGCAGATTCTGCAGCCATCACAACTATTTTTGTACATTTTGTTGTATTACTGAAATTGCTACCCTTAGCATGATTGTAAGCAACTTAATGTCGAGCTGTGGTAAATAACCAAATTTAGAGTTGAGTAATGATGCTGAAGAAGGCATCTGATTCAAAACTCCTGACTTGTGATCAATTAAAGAGTGATCACGTTTACTTTCAAGGACAATAAAGTTTGTTTTTCAACTTTATTTGGAAATCTAAAGTAATTCAGCTGATTAAACTTGAGCTGCATCGTCCTGCTCTGAACAGAAAAAAAAAATATTTGCACATATTTATCCTATTAAAGAAAATACACTGTTTTGGGGGAGAATTTAGCATCTTTACCTCAGATTAAAACCTACTTAAAGACCTTGGTCAAACTTGTACAATGTTATTATTATTATTATTTTTTTATGTATGTGTATATTAAAGAGTGGGAAAGAAGAGGATCGTCCAAAGTTAGTTTGCAATAACCACCACTGGGCATAAATATTTATTTTAACAATGTTAGCAATAAGAAATTATAATCTCCACATGACACCATAACTTGTTTGAGGAAAAACAGAGGCCTTGGCTTTCTGCGGCATTCAACAGGTGGTTCTGCAGCTCATGCTAGCAACACTGATGGCCACGGGGTGGCGTTTTGAGCCTTACGAGTTGTTTTTCTGGAAAAAGAGAGCTCAACACAATAGGAGCAGTGCTCATCTTTGCAAAGATTATTTCAGAATTAATATAAGGGGAATATATCAGATATTTTAAAACCCTTGAGAACATTCTCTTCTTCTGCAGTCTCTTCGTGGATATGCTCTGCTTCCAACAATTTTGCATGGCCTTTAATGCAGGCACCGTGCAAAAAAAATATGCAGGACTGTTGATGTAACAATGCTCGGCTGTACAGACAGTAAAAGAAACGTTGTGTTAAAGCCTGGAAGCTGCAGTCTTACGCAGACACCGAGATGCAGGAGTAAAAGCGATCCTGAAGCTTATCCAAGCAACAGCTTTATCAGATGATGTATAGGCATCCTGTCCTTATATAGTACTACAAAATTACAGCTGTCATTGCATGACAAAACCCTAATCTGTATGGCTTTAACTGAATCATATAAGGCACTGTGCTGCAATATATGCTGAGTCCAGTAAGAAGGAGCAGAATGTCACCACATCCCAACGCAGAGAAGGGATTACACATTACACACTTTGCTCTTTCTTTAGCTGCAACATAAGCACGTTTAAACCATTTATGAATACATATCTAATGTTGCAGCTGATTTGAGAAGCCTCACCCTTGAAATAACTGCGACGTGTATTTTTTTTGTTTTTTTCTACCAAGCGTTTACATTCAGTAAACCTGTTTACAGAATGTGAGCCGGGCCGCACTCCTCTGCTGTCTGCCTTGTTCCAGAAGGCAGGAGGAGGGAGGGCAGCAGCGCCCGGCGCATGCGCACATGGTTGTTTTTCACCCAGCCTGTCGCTTAAAGTGAGCTGAGCTTCGGGGGTTTCCTTGTCTGTGACTGGAGACCATCAAGCAGGATAGGCAGATGATAACAGCATCCACTGCTGTTAATCAGCCCTCACATAGCTCAATGAACTGCTCAAAAAGAAGCCACTGATCGTGCCTGCTGCTTTTTGCAGGGCAGAGATACTGGTCAGTGTCTACAATCTGCATCCCCCTTTACCCTCTTTTTTTTATTATTATTATTTTTCTCCTTATGAGATTATTTTTTTCATAGACTTCTGCTTCAGAGCTCAAGGTCTCTTCTCCGCCATGGTGCTAGGAAAGGTGAAGAGCTTCATTGTAAGCTACGACTGTTTCAATGACAGCAACGTCCCCGTGTTCTCCAGCGGGGACTGCGTCTCAGGGAGGGTGATCATCGAAGTCACCGGAGAAATCCGCGTCAAGTCTCTCAAAATCCACGCAAAGGGTTTCGCAAAAGTTCGCTGGACCGAGTCGAGAAATGCTGGGTCCAACACTGCCTACACCCAGAACTACACGGAAGAAGTGGAGTACCTGAATCACAAAGACATCTTAATTGGGCATGAGAGAGGTAAGTTTCTATTCGCATTTTTCGCAAAGTTTGGTAGCAGCAGTGATGCTTCCCGGGGGTCATGGCAAATGACTATAAAATGAACTAAATAACCGAATAATTGTGTGGCCTCTATCGTCTACACAGTTAGACGTAGTCGAGTATTTTACTTTTTTGACAATGTCCCCTTCCTTGCTTGCTTGTAGTCAAGGTGTCAGAATGAATGACAGCATCTCTATAGCATCTTTCTTTGTTTTTAACGTACTTCTTGCCTAAAATGTAAATAAACGAAATGTTCCGCCACAGTAGAGCACATTGGACACTTAAAATGACAAATGTAAAGTTTTTGTTAAGAAATTTTATCGGGAAACAACCTCGAAGTTTCCCCTATTGTTCAAAGCGGTTCAATCCTGTTCAGAAAACTGGATTGAGAGTGGGCGGAGCCACGGCGCATCCCCTCCTTTTCTCGCTTGTGATTGGTGGAGATGCTCTTACGTGTAGTCAATGACATCATGGTTTTGCAGAGTGACAGACCACTCAGCAACTTTTTTCAATAAGGGGAACACCTGCATAATATCACTGCGGAAGCTTTTTCAATTAAGTCTTTTAGCGTTTTATGTGTGGGACACTAAAGTTGGCCACTTTCAAATGAAATTGTGATGTTGTTTTCATCTCGGTAGCTAATGTAAATGTCCTCAGCACTCCGGAGTGGCTTTAGACGAGGCAATGAATGGAATTAAACTAAACAATAATAATAATTAAACGCGTTGTAAAGGCGTTCTGTGAACAATGAAGTGGTTCATTGTTAGAAATGGGTGATAGTTGCGGGTCTGCAGTACCGGAGCCTGCAGCGCCGCGCAGTGAATGCGCCCTGCGCTGCCGCTGAGAAGCTGCTCGCACCGGTTTAGGCCGGTCTCCTCCTGTTGGAGGCTGCCGTGTGAGTGACAGATCCGCACTTGTTTACCACTCTGCTGCTGCTGCTAGGGGGAGGGTGTGCTGTGCTGAGCTGGCAGACACAGCTTAGCAAAAACTATCCTCTCACTAAAAATTGCATTAAGTTTTCGTTTTTACAAGCCCCGTTCACCTTTTTATGGAGCAAAAATCCGAAACTTTCTGGTTCTGTTGTGTGGCGATGATGCGTTGCTTTGCCTACAAGCAAGTATGGAAAACAATATTTTAGCTTCAGTACTTTGTGCCATTTCCTAAGAGGTAGAATTTAAATTTCCATAGATGGTTTTGGCTTTGATTGGCACTCAAATCACATCCTTTACATAACTCAAACCCTCTTAAATTTTAATAACAATTATGCAATTTTTTTTTTCAAAAATATACACTTAAAATAATAATGCAGTATAATATAAGTGTTTCTACAGAATGATTTCCGAAAATATCTACATTTTTAAAAAGCTTACTGTAACTATTTTTATTTTTTATATTTCTATCTTTAAAGATTTGTAGTCTTTTTGTGTCTCACCAAATTCTGCTCTGGTGGCCTTAGTCGTCTTTGGCAAGCAGCTTTTGAAAGATTTCGGCATTGTTTCTTCGGAAGCATTCAAATTGGATTTAAGTTTCTATTGAAAGAATCAATCTTATACTTTTCTAGGTCACACTTTAATTCTGGCACTCCCAAATTGAAAGTTACCACTCACGTAGTTTCATGACTTACAAAACATGAATCAAACGCCTACAAAAATAGTTAAAACTTTTCATATTCAAACATTCAGAATATATAAAAATGACAAAGCAATCTAGAAAACGGAGCTGGCAAAAGTATGAGTCTTTCAGATTAAAAAATATTCAGAAGCCATGTAAATTATCTGGGGTATTTTGATTTTTATTCATACAAAGCCCTATCATACATAATCAACCCTCTTTCTAATCATTCAACTTCTTTAATCTCCCTTTTTTTAACATTTCTCTGCTGTTTGTCTCTCAATACAATAATTTTTTTTCCAGACAGATTTAATTGTAAAACACGTTTATTCTCTTTTTGTCTCCCCCACCCTGTGTTTTTTTTTTTTTTTTTTTTTTTTTTTTTTTTTTTTTTTTGTTTTCTTTCTTGATATGATTTTTCAGATGCCTTCGTAGAGCATTTTGTCCAGGTATGGTATACATGTGTTTGGAATATTGTCCTCCTTGTTTTTCAGACGATGACAACTCAGAGGAAGGACTCACTACCATCCATGCAGGAAGGCATGAGTACGCATTCAGCCTCGAGCTTCCACAGACGTAAGTGGTCTGGTACAACGTGGAACCGAGAGACCATGTGTTCGCTTTCCACCGTACTTATGTTTGAATTTTTGGCGTTCGTCTCAACCTTTTCTCTCCTCTCTGCGTCTCTCCTGCAGACCTCTGGCTACCTCTTTCGAAGGAAAGCATGGCAGTGTGCGCTACTGGGTAAAGGCAGAGCTGCACAGGCCATGGCTGCTGCCATTGAAGACCAAGAAGGAATTTACAGTCTTTGAGCACATTGACATCAACACTCCATTATTGCTGGTGAGCTCTTCTGAAATGACCCATAGTTTTTTTTTTTTTTTTTTTTGACAAGCCGAATGAATTTTTAAATGGCTTTCTGGTCTTTCTTGTTCAGTCACCACAGGCTGGCACTGCAGACAAGACGCTTTGCTGTTGGTTCTGCACCTCAGGTCCTATTTCCCTAAGTGCCAAAATTGAAAGGAAGGGATACACCCCAGGTGAGAATAAGATGGTAGCAAATGCAACATTTTGCTTTTGTCCTCACATCATGCATGCGTACATATGCATTTGCTGCTTTTGTGACTGGAAAAACACCAGTTAATGTTTTTTTTTTTTGTTGTTTTTTTTCCCATCTCACAGGAGAGTCGATTCAAATCTTCGCCGAGATCGAGAACTGCTCGTCCCGCATGGTGGTGCCAAAGGCGGCCATCTACCAGACCCAGACCTTCTATGCCAAAGGGAAGATGAAGGAGGTCAAGCAACTGGTCGCCAACCTGCGGGGAGAGTCTCTGTCGTCTGGCAAAACGGAGACCTGGAACGGCAAGATGCTGAAGATTCCTCCTGTTTCGCCCTCCATCCTGGACTGCAGCATCATCCGAGTGGAGTACTCTCTCATGGTGAGTGCCGGCCTACGGTGTGTGGAGCGCCATCTCTCGCGCGCTTTCCAGGCATTCGGCTCAAGTGTCCAGAAATGACAGTCATGCAAACGCAAGGGTCTCTGCTTGCATAACGTTATTATCACCACGACCTATTTTCAGAACTGCTATCGGTATATAATCAATATTTCCTAGTAGACACTATTTGTCCTGGCTCGGCTTAGACAGCCAGAGCTTGGACTGTACCCTCCTCATGGCACTAAGAGCATTAGCCCAGAAACCTTGGAGCAACACCTGCCCTCTGGGCGCCTAATCTCATTACCCTTCGAGCAGTCATCCTTCCAGCCTAAGCAACTGATTGCTAGACACTGACACACATATCTAAAATGTAAAGTCAAACTAATTACCTAGTCTTCACTCCACTGCAAAACACAGAACTAATTAGTTTGCTTTGCCTCTGATTGATCTTTAAACTGCTGTTGTGTTCAGGTCTACGTGGACATCCCGGGGGCAATAAACCTGTCCCTGAACTTACCCCTGGTCATCGGAACCATTCCACTCCATCCGTTTGGCTCCCGCACCTCCAGCGTCAGCAGTCAGTGCAGCATGACCTGGCTGAGCATGGGTCTACCAGAGAGGCCTGAAGGTAGATTCACTTGATGTCGTGATTGAAATGTACGCACCTGCTTTAGATGAATCAGGAATTCATTTTAAAACTTTTTTTTTTTTTTTTTTTACTCGCAGCTCCTCCAAGCTACGCAGAAATTGTGACAGAAGAGCAGAGGCAAGGCCGCCTGGATGCCCCAGTGGTCCGAGAGGAACTGGAGGGTCCTCTCCTGGCCTATATTCACGAGTTCCGCTTTCAGCCCCCTCCTCTGTACTCTGAGGTAAGTCTTAAAAAAAAAAAAAAATAATCTGATCAGTTGTATTCCAGAAATCATCCATTCTCTTAAATAATTGCCTGTTTTTCCTCCAGATTGATCCTAACCCAGATCACTCCGGCTGTGCAGAGGAGCGCAGGCTCGATGCCTGTCCATCACGCTGAGCGTTTCCTTAAACTTACCCCAAGTGAGTCGGGGTACCTAAAGGAACCGCCTTGAAAGGCCGAACTTGAACATTTTCTCGGATGACGACATTGACACAATGCTGTTGATATCTGGAGAAAACCGTGAGATCTGACCTACAAAAGACTTGCCCAACGTCGAGCCGGACGAGGCGACGCATTCTCCGCCTTTTCCTCAGAAAGAGAAAAAGACTTCTCCGCTATGGGGTTTCACCATCTTCCTGAGGAATATTCAGCCTGCGTGGAGGCTGGCAGTGGAGCCCTGGTGAGGAAGTTGGAGGAGGAGGAGTCACCAAGGCTCAGCCTGCCAAGCTCCTCTTCAGCCTCAACTCTTCTGTATTTGTGGCACATTGAGGATGTGGCTCCTTACACAAAGGGGGGAAACTAACCATGTCCAGACTTCAGCAGAATCACTTTAAAAACATGGGATGATTGAAGGAAAGTAACTGTTCTAACAATTATAGTTAAGGCTTGCAAGCAGTGGTTCAAAACAGAGCAAAGACTAATTCCTTTTGCCTCATGTGGGGGATTTTTGTTTTGCACATTTTTGTTCTTTACTTGAGTTGGGTGGCTCTGTTTAATTTTCTTTTTTTACACAAATCACTAATGGTTTGCTTTCAGTTTTGGAAAAGACCAGACCGGAAAAAGCAGACTACAGGCTTAACAGTTAAGAGTATCATCTGCAAAATGTTTGACTTTTGAAAACAAACAAAAAAAGACTGAAAGTATGAAATGCACTGAATTTATTTTGAGCAGTTAGCGATTTTTCCGTTTTTCAGTACATGGCGACTGATAAGTTACCTTCGTTTTTTTTTTTTTTTTTCCTCTAAGTGTTGGTGGAAGCTGTTAAGTAAGGTGTTGCCTCCGTAGTTTGAATTCCCGTCTAGCTTCCTTCTTTTTGTGTTGCGTAGTTTCTGTTATTCTCTTTGTATCTTGAACTGCTAAAAGCTTTTTCTGAGTTTTCGGTTCCAGGGTTGCTCTGGCTTCGGACTGGTGGGGTTGCAGTCCTGCTTTTGCCACTCAAAACGTAGCCGAGAAGACAAGTGTGTATTTTAGAGAGACTTAACCCTAACTGCCTGCAGCCCCTCCAGTCCTTGTGCCAGAGTATATCCGACTGGCATTACTGCCCTAAAAGCACTGTCTCAGGTGTGCGTTTTTGTTTTTTCACTTGCCAAGTGGTTTTAAAAAGTGGATTTTTTTTTTTATTGCACTGTTCAAACTTTTTTTTTTTTTAACTACCAAAATGAGAGAACAGTCTTGCAGACAAGCGAGACAGCTTTTGAGATGAATCACATTCCCTTTTTGTCCTGCTGCACTTGCTTACTGCATCCCAACCAACAGACTTTTTTGCCAGACCAGTGAAACCACAATGCTAATAATAATGTATAAGTAAAAAAAAAAAAAAGAAAAGAAAAGAGGAACATGAAGTAAGAGGAATGTCTGCCTCTGTGCTGAAGAAGCAAACTCGGCACAAACGGAAAGCCGGAGTCTGTGCTAAACCTCTATACAGGCTGGTCAGAACAAGTAGTAGTAGGAATAATGAGTAATACATTGGTTTTCTAACTCATTTCATATAATAGACCACTTGTAATAGAGGTTTGGCATAGTCATAAAAGACAAAAAGCAGCACTTTTTTTTATATAACAAAAATACAAATTAGCGTTCAGTGGTGAAGGTCTGGTTGAAAACACGTCGGTACTAACAATGTAATAAAGGGGCTTTCAGTAAGGAAGTGCCGCTTAGGATATTAAAGCATTATTCACTCTGTTTTAATGTTAGAAACTTAAGTTTACATTTTTGTTTGTTTTTTTTTTTTTTCTTTCTTTGAAACCTAGCTAACACTAGCTTGCGTGTGCACGCTTTTATCGAAATCCTTCTGGCAACTAAAGCAAACGGCTTCTGACAGTGACAGACAAGCTGCAGAACGTTAATAAAGTGATCTTATCTTAGTGGCCTTGTTGCAGAAAAAGACCGTAACACGGTTCCTCGTTTCATTCGACGTCTGCTCTAACCGATGTTCTCGTTTGTGTTTGTCCACGCCTGTACGTTCTTTGACCTTTCGATGTTTATTCAAAAAGTTGAAAAAGGGAAGAGAAAAAAAAAGGTCCTTTTTTTTTTAAAGTAAGTTTGTTAAAGAATGAAACCTTGTCTATGATGATAAATGGTGTATATTATCTCTTTTTTTTCCATTTACGTGGGCATTCTTAGTGGGTTTTTTTGTGGGGTTTTTTACAACCATTTTAGTTTTTCTCCCGATTTCCCTGATTTTACCCCTCATCCCAGTTTGTGGGTGGCAGCTGTTGATCAGTGTCCCCCACCTCCCACACTCCACCCTCCCGGAGAAGCATTTAGCAGTCGTAGGGTTGTAGACTAAACAATTCCTCAGTTGTAAACTTGTCTAAACGCAGTTTGAAGTTCTATTTTTTGTTGTTGTTGTTTTGTTTTTATCTTAGGGAAACTGCGGTAAAGAATAAGCTTTCAGGTTTGGTCAGTACCATAGTCCATTTGCTTGGACTTCAGAAGTAGTCCAGTGTCAAAACTAAGCTAAACTCCTGACCTAGTAATAAAGGCAGGAACTGAAATGTTCAGATATTTAAAAAAAAAAAAGAAGAAGAAAACTTAGGTGAAGGGGTCTGAAACATTTTAGAAACGAAGTGCAATATTACTCACTGAATTTTCTTTCTCCATTTGTTTCTGTTTGTATCTTATTGTTTTGTCTGTTAATCATGATGATGTGTAGTTATTCTATGAATATACTATGTTCTGAATGATTTAACCTTTGTCTTGTTCTTCCTTTTGATTTAAATAAAACTTTAAATTAAAACAAGCAGAGGCGGGTTTTTGTTTACATAAATATCCTGGACAAGTTTTCTTGTATCCAATAAACCTTTGAACTCTCGAATATTTCTGTTTAATAATTGTAAGTTTTTGTTGGATTCATAACATATTTCCACCCTGCCCTTTTATAGGAACGCAGAGTTGGCATGAAACGATGACTAATCATTTCTCAATGATTGACTCACATTGGAATATTTTAAGTGAGTAGAGTTTTAATGCCCCAGGCTTCAGAAACATGGTGCCACACTGCCCCTAGTGGTGGTTTGAAAACAACACCTTTCACTGCTGAGTTGCATGACAATACACTCATAGTTACTAAACTAAACATTACATTCTGAGAATGATGGATATGAGTTATGGAATGACATAATAATGATCAATCAAATGATCAAATTATGCTTTAGGTTAATAGGGAAAATATTTATGAATGAGATGTTCAAGAAGAGTTGTTAATATTGAGGCTGACATTATGGTTGACCATAACGTTTCGGACCGTTATTTATTGTTGCTACATCATCTGAAACAGAATTTAATTTAATTTATAAAGTATTTGCAAATTATGTAATTGCAATTGTGTAAAAGCAATCCACTGCCACCTACTTAAAAAAAAAAAATTCAGTTAGCTTATTTGTGGAGAATTATACATGTTTAAGAAAGAACATGCTGTTGCTGCTTCAGCAGGTGCTCTGCTCAAATGGATCCAAAATGTAACTTTCGAGTCTACATGCGATGTGCGGTGGGATGTCAGCACTGCCTGTCAGCCCGAACATCTGAATGGTGGAAAAACACAGTGGTGGAAGCATCATGCTGCGGGGATTATTTCTTTACAAACACATACCACACAGATTCATATTTGTAAAATCATCAGGCAGGCTGAAAGACACTTGCACTCTTTTCGTTTCTCTATTATGTGCAGCTTGATGTTGGTCTGTCATAAAAATGCCAGTAAAATACACTAAAGTTTGTTTCTGTATGCAAACAGAAGGAATGTACGAAGAGTTTACATTTATTGTCGTGTTTGGACTAATGTGTCACGTTGGACTTTGTTTGGCTATTAATGTGATCGTCACAGCATAGCCTGCAACTAACATTTTAAACAGACCTCTAGAGACTTTTAAAGTCATTAATTTTGTGAAGCTGCAGTAAATGTTTGACTTGCATAAGCTGTAGCTCTCCGACTAAAAATAGAGCTTCTCTGGGTCTGGTGAACTGCGACCCATTTGTGATGTTCAGCAAACTGTGCTGAGCCAATCAATTTCACACGTAATACACAGACTTACATATCACATCAGGGCTTAATACCGATCGATTTTTTTGAAAGCTATGAAGTATCTATGTACACGTCACATGAACGGTTTGAATGTTCCCAGAATGTGAATGACAGCATAGCACGTCAACAAGATGCCTAAGTGAAAAGTTAATATTCATTGTATAATTCAACAGAGACGTTTCTCAAACAATCAGTCAATTTTATTTGTATAGCACATTTCATAAACAAAGCTGTTCAAGGTACTTTGCATAATAAAAAATATTAAATTACAAAGCTATAACACCGTACAAACATTACATTTTGATGAGAGCCATCACCAAATTCATACACGTCAAATAGTTTGGTCAATGTTTCATTTATTAAGATTCAAAAGACTGATTTAAAGGAACTCAGTGTTTCAGCTGTTTTACAGTTTTCTGAAAGTTTGTTCCAGATTTATGATGCATAGAAGCTGAATGCTGCTTCTCCACATTTATGACATCTAAAAACTCTTTTTTGTCAAATGAGTCTATGTAAACTTCACTCAAAATGCAGCAAGATGTTTCTTAATCTTTAAAAGAAACTTTTCATGTGAAGAACATTTAATCAAATCGAATCAAACCAAAACTTGAGGGAGCTTCTGTGATGACTCAGCATCACTGACCAAGCACTTCGGTTTGCCTTTGCCCCCCTCGGCCCTCACCCTCAATCCCCTGGCCCCTTTTGACTTTTGTGGGCCCTTTGTGAACATCTGACCCCTGTACATTGAAAAAGAACCGGAGGAGGGGGGCAGCTGATGTGGTGGTTGGTGAGCTCACCAACAGTTTTGATTAGTAAATGCTGACACTAAATAAACCTCAGCTGTTTCCTCTCACCAGTTAATCCCACTTACACGAAGCCTCTGGTGATCCAGAACGTCCCAGCAGCTTGGCGTGACCAGAGACCGTCAGCGTAGATGGGGGGAGGATTGGATCGAGGCCCCCTGAATGCCGGCCCGCCGGTGCCACATCATCACTGTGACATAATAGAAATATACACACATGCAGCTCTGTACTGAAGCATGAAATCTCACAGCGACGTTAGCTCACGTGTTCCAGGAAGCAGAGGAACAAGTCGTACAGCTGCAGGCTCCAAAATGTTTAGGAGCACATTTAAATCATCGCACAGTGCCTGGATGAATGTGTGCAAAAAACAACATTTTATGCAGTGTTACAAAGGCCGAAATAAACTCAAA